ACAAATTTATGGCCATCGAAACTTTGTTCATTGTAAAATATTTTACACACGAGAATTAATTTGTTTCGAGACGCGTTTTTTGTATTTTCTATTAAATGGGCATTTAATGTGTTTTGTATAATAAAATTGTCAACAGATTTAAGACGATGCGAGGCAGGGCTGCCTCTGAGGAGGAGGAGTAGGAGGAGGTGGAGGAGGATTAGGACTAGCAGATTATGGAACCTTTTTTCTCTTTGTTGCTCGCTTGAGCAATCCCTGAGCTGCACATTCATCTCCACTTGAGCATTTGAGCCAGAAACTGGACCAAAACTAATTGAAAACCATTATTTGCCGGATTAGGAGAGCGAGGAGTGCGAGGAGTGCGAGGAGAGCACAACAAATGGCCAAGGTTATTTGCATGGAACCGAACCCGAACCCGAACCCTTAACGAACTGTAGGAAATTGAATCCGTATCCGAGTCCGTATCCGTGGCAGCAGCAGAGGCAGAGGCAATTGCATTTTATTGTAATTGCCAGTGAGCAAAGATCCTACGGTTTTTGGCAGCCAGGGAGAAGGTCTTGAACTTTTGGGCACGCACGTAGGGGCTGCCCGGCATTAATTACAGACTTGCCAGAGCCGCTCGAGGACGGGGCGGACATTCCAAGGCGTAGCATCCCCCTCCCCGCGGCTATCTGCAAAGTGTAATCAAAGTAGGTGGCGCAAATTAACAAATCTTTCGTGTGACCCAATTAAATCAGAGCCCAGAGCCGCCAGTCGGGTCCAGTCCAGGCCCCGAACGAGTCTCTCTCCGGCCTCTGCAGCAATTTGGCATTCGTCATGCCCGCCGCCGAGGGCCCACTCTGGCCTGGCCTGGCCTCTCGGACCTGGCCATGGGAAACAGCGTCTGAGGGAGTTACTGCATCGAAACGGCTAATGGGGTTGGGCCAAGATCTGGTGGCAGGCTGGAGCAGGAAATGTTCTGCAAAGATCCAAGGCCCTAATCCACTGTTTACCCCCCCTGCTCGTAGAGCCGGCATTGGTTTTGTGTGTGCCACACACAAGGGAGGCTCCAACTACTTAATTATCTTCTCTTTTACTTTTTTGGACTGGAGTGGGGTGGGGTGGGCTCTAATGGTGCCGCCAAAGCCCTTCCGCAGTGCCCCCCTTTTTGGCCATGTTGCTTATTAATAAACATGTTAAATGTAATTGTTATTTGGAGCTGGCTGCCGTTCGGGGGGCGTGGCCTGGGCCGTGGCTTGTGTAATTACCATCTACGGCCAGACCTAAGCGGAACGTGAGAAAAGGCCCAAACGCCCGAGAGAAGGAGTGTGTGGAATATCCTTTCCGGGCGGGAAGGTGTTGGGTTAAAACCACACAAAATTAGCTAAAACTGTGCCTCCTGCCTCCGCCCCCTGCCTCTCTGTGGCTCTCGTGTCCCTCCCGAAAAGGCATTCCACCATTGGCTTTGTCCATATATGAAATTCATTGCTCGGACTCTCTGTTCCACTGGAATGGAAAATGGAATGCACGCAAGAACTTGTTTAAGGAGTTGCTTGCCTCAGAGACAGAGACAGAGACACAAGAGGGAGAGAGACAGTGTTGAGACCACACAGGCATTCATCTTCTCTCCCTCCCTCTCTCTGGCCTTAAAGTGGCCACGTTTGACCCGCTGAGGCTCCTAGGAATGACTCTGGGAATGTTTCTGGGTCTGTCTTCGGCTTCGTCTGGGAATCTTCTTTGCAACTGCTCTCAACCTCTATTTTTGGTATCCTCCGCCGGAAAGAGAGGGGGCGATGATCGTTCTGGTTTCGTTTTCATTCACTTTATCCATCCATCGAATCATCTAAGCATCGCCACCATCGCCGTGATTCAGTGTTTGAAATTTCGCTGACGTTTTGCCTTTTGTTGTAGCCTCATTCCTCGCTCGTTCCGAGGGATACACACACTCGTGCGAGTGTCGGCTAATTGCGCGATATTTATTCCCCAGATCGCCAGATACTTCCCCTGATCCCAGGGTTCGACGAGGAGGAGGAGAAGGAGGAGGAGGGCAAGTGTTGACTTTGTAGGCGAAACCCAAAGATCATGAATCTGTTGTGATTATATGGCCTCACTAGAGACCAACTAATGGCGATTCTTAGGACTAAATATGCTAATGTTGATCCTCGCCGATCCTTCCTCGATTCCTCCTTCTTCCACGGCCAAGGAATGCGACGACAATGCAGCAAAAGGGCAAACCGAAGGAGTTGTGGATGCAGAGCCACCGAGTGTCTGCCATTAGGTTTTGGTTGCTGGAAAATGATTAATAGTCATGCCTTGGCCCCACTGCCACTGCCACTGCCGCTCCAGCAACGGCGGCGGATGCAACGCCAACAAAATGGAGCAGCCGCCGCCAGTCTCCGGATTTGGCATCAGCTCCACTGCAAATTTCTTTTGGCCAAGACAGAGACAGAGACAGCGACAGCGACAGGGGCGCACAGGGAGTGGGGAATGCTCAATCGTCTCTCGGTCTCTTCCTTGTCCGCTGATACTCGTATTATAATGTTTTGTGAACTGTTTAAATTGTGCAAACAATTTCAGCTAAGTGCCTGCCTACCACTGATGATGATGAGGCAGAAGGAGAGGGCGGGGTAGAAGATGGGCGAGAGCACAGGAAGTGCAGCTTTAATGAAGCGTTTAAGTGGCAGGCAGCTGTTGCATGGAAGGTGTCGGGCAGTTGCCCCAAGGAGCCTCCATGGACACTCCCGGGCAGTCCGCATAACTACCCTCAGACAATGTAGCGGCCCCAATGGGTCTGCCGCTCCATCAAAAGTCTGTTTGGAAATGGAAATATCGCTTTATCAGCGCCCAAGTATCACGCACACAGCCTCACGAGCAAAACTAACCTACATACTCGTACGACCAAAGGGAGAGAGAGAGAGGGAGAGAGAGAGAGGGCAAAGTTACACAGTTTGAGGCCTGGGAACGGGTCCAAGTCGGGAGGGACTTTATCTAAATGCTGGCGCTTATCAGAAGAACGGGGATAAGGTGGGACGAAGAGAAGACAGCCCAGCGCCCTCTGCCCAGCGCCCTCTGTCCTCTGTCGACGGCGAGATTTATGACTCACAGCGCGCATGAAGAAAGAAGCGAAAGAGAAAAGAGTAAAAAAAGAGCGAAGAGCAGAGGCTGTTTGGATAAGTTATTGATATTGTGAATGAGGAAGAGGGAGAAAGAGAGAGAGAGAGAGGGCCACAGACAGCGCGAGGTTCACATAAGAAATACCGACACACACACACACATGCACACACACACATACATGCCATGCACACATATAAAAATCCCAAACTGCATAATTTAAACGATTTCAATGACACCTTGATTAATATCAAAGACCAAACACAAAAGAGAACGCAAAAGAACACTGACCATCCCATCTCCCCACTCCACGCCACGCCACTCTTCCTCTCCACTCTTCTCTACCTGTAGCGCTCGCTCCTTTCCCCCTCAGACAGCAGTGCCGGGCCCCCCCCCAGCCCTATGCATTTCCATGAAATTATGAACGAAAACGCAATGCATTTGACCAAAAGATAAAAGCAAGAAAGGATGGAGACTAGGAGAACCGACTGGCAGATACCCTCGAATAAAAATACTTATTCTGGTTTCTGTGTCCGAGCACAGGGTACAAAAGCAAATCAAGAAACGCTGAAAACCAAAAATAAACAAAAGCAACACTCAGGTAAACGGGCAGAGAGAGCGAGTGAGAGAGGGAGAGAGGCTGCAACAGTTTACCTGGCCGCAAATCAAACAAAGCGAATGGAAGGGGAAGCGGGACTGCGGGACTGCGGGACTGCGGGACTGCGGGACTGCGGGACAGCGGGACGGCAGGGCAGAAGATCAGAGAAATGCACAAGAGAGCGGGAGAACGAGCGAGAGCGAGAGCGAGAGCGAGAGCGAGACCGAGAGAGTCATTGCAATTAAGCGTGATTAATTCAGGATTTATACAAATTAAGTAAAAAGCCACAGGCGGATCGAAACCATGGAAGGTAGGTCCATGCCTAGGCCGAGGTCGAGGCCCCACTCTCGTCCCCACTCCCACCGAACAGCTTGTAAAAGCGGTGTGACAACCTCCTTGCTCTCGCACTCCCAAAAGAGAAGAGCCGTTTTCCTTTCGAGTGTGCAATATCTCTGCTCCCAGCCGCTTTTGATACCCTTTCATCGCAGATATTACTCCGCGTGCCATTCAGTTTAACTTTTGAGTAAAGATATGCTAGGAAACATCGGTCAGAGACCACATTCGGAGGGTATCGCAGGCTTCGGTCTCCTATGCGCCGCACTTCATTCTTGTTTTTCGATCGAAAAGGAATTTCTCGAGATTTTTCAGCTCTGCTTTGGACTGGTCTTGGAAACTGGAACCCTTTGCTAGGAAGAGAGAGCGGCAGAGGGAGAGGGAGAGGAAGAGGGGGAGGGGCAGTCACGCATGCGCCAACAGCACCGCCGACTGGACACAGCGCTCTCCACCGGGGAATTCTGCTCTGGTCTGCTCTGCGCTGCTCTTCCCTCTCATCTCTCATCGCTCATCGCCTCGGGCTGTAAAGGTATTCGGATGCTTCTCCTCTCTCCCCCGCCCCCACCGCGCTGTGTTGAATCTTTTTTGAGTTGATTTGCGTGGAATTTCATTTCCTCAACCGGGGGAGGCGAAGGGCGAGAGGCGGAGGAGTGCGGCTGCTGCAGACGCAGACGCGGCATGAATCATGGGATCGCCCAATTCAAAGTTCTCTTTGTTCTTTGCTCTTTTCGATCTTCGGTCTTCGGGGCTTCTTTTCTTATCTTTCGAGGTTTAGTAATATTATGAAATGTTGTGTAACTCCTAGGAGTGAACAAATAACTTCTATCCGATCGAATCTTGAGGGGTCTTTTCTTTAGATTAACTTTTTTTTCACTAAACTTCCCAATGGGCTCGAATCTGACAAATTAGAACCGAATTTTTCGAAGACTTACACTTAAATTGTTTCCCATAGAGACAGTCCCTTACCCACAACACTTACCGTTACTGGGCTTTTGCGGTATCTCATTGGCATCGATACCCCTGCCCTGGAAGATGTGCGTCACGGCGCTGCAGTTGGGGCTGAACTGATCGAGGATGGAGGGGGCGCCCCCGGCGGCGGGACTCGGGGCTGCCAGAGCGGCCACCTGAGGGGGGGATGCGGGGGCGATACCCTCCTGGGCCGTCACTGGGTGGCTGGGCAGGAGCAGGAGCAGAAGGCAGCTGAGTATCACAAGGAGGCCATTTGTTGCTGTTCTTCTTCTGCAGGGCGGACATTGTTGCTGCTGTTGTTTTTGCATGGTGGCACACATGTTGTTGCTTTTTTTTGCTTTGCACCCGGAAAAAAAAGCTTATCACAATAGTGCGGCGGGGCGGCGGGAAGCAGTTTGCACAGCGAGAGAGAGAGTAAGCCCGATACAACGAGAGCGAGAGAGAGAGAGAGCGGACGACTCTTTGCCGGCTTTTGCTGTTGTTTGAACGGTAAATATTTTCGGGCAAACGCTGACACCCCCACACACGCAAAAAAAATCACACTAATGCATCGCGTTTACTTTGTTGCTGTTTACCGGCGACGACCTTCTCGCTGTTGTTGTGTTGTTTTTTGTGCCTCAAACCTCAAACCAATCTCGAAAGTGCAAACGTTAGGCGACACCGACACCAAAAGAATTTGTCAAAAACCGATCGTACGAAATCTCATCTCACTTTCTTTAGCTTTCTTAGATCACGACGCGAGTTCGTTATTATTTATTATTTTTTAGAATATCAATGGATATTTTAGGGCCGGATTTTTTTATATTTTTATGGTCCATCAACGGACTTTCGTAATAAAAAAAAAAAAACTCGACAAGATTGTTTTTAATTTTTGTTAGTTATCAATAGATATTTTCGGGCCGCATATATGGACAACGGGCATTTCTAAATTCAAAAAAAATTCGACACTGTCCTGTTGTTTCATGGACGCGCAACAACCGCTTGGTTCAAAAAAATTGGAGGTTTTGATAATATTGTGTGCAGTGTGACCGCGAACTCATTGATAAAATATACCATCCGACCCTCAGCAATATACCAAAATATACCGTCTCATCTTAAAAATACACCGTAAATATACTGATGCATTGAAATTCTTTATACATATTCCTAGTTTTTGATATTCCATCGAATATTACAAGCTAGATGGATCTCTCAGCTCTGCCCACATAATTTTATCCAATTAATGAACCTAATTTTCTACTTGATTGGTTTAATATAAATACTTTTTTTTATTGGATTTCACCTAAAAAAGGCTTTGGCGAAAAAGGTCAAACAAAAAAACCGCAAGAGAGTAATCGTTCCTATTGCTCAATTTTGATATTCCGTTGAATAATGCGGGCTTACTAAAAACTTCAGCCCTGCCCACATAGAGAATTACATTAAATCTCCAGGCAGAGCACTAGAGTTTTTGAAACCAACCGAGAGAGCCTACAGTATTGGAATTCGGTTGGCTTTGCAGTTTATGGCACCTCTAATATAGTTCATATATATATTAACCGGATATAAAATGAATAAATTATTGTATCCGTATAATCAGATTTTCTTCGACCGCATATAATTTTATAATTAGCTGGCCTCGCTTGCTGCCCTCCATTTTAAATTTACCGCCTATTCTGCTACGAAATCGCTATATCGCTCGATCCCAGGAAATACCATCGGTTGCTTTTCTAGTATTAATCGGTAATTCTGTGTTCAGATCTGACTAGCTGCAAAAACAGAGATGCCCCTATGAGAAAAGCATGCAGTGAAAGCGATTTATGTGCTTTTTAGTTGGGGAGAAATATGATCGAGATAATCAGCTTTTTCTGCAAAAATGATAGAATCTTACACTTTTCATATCATAATTTTTAGTTAATCAAGTATTGGTAATGAGTGTTTTTGAGAACTAGTCGGCGAACAAACAGCAGCAAAAAATTATGTCTTTTTGAATTGGTGGTGATTTGTGTGATGAAAATCTTTGTTGATTTAAGTACTTGGCCTTAAAAAGATCTGAATATATAAGAAATAAGATATAAAATAAAAATAAAAATATGGTTAAATATATCTTAAGAATACCTTAAATATATTGCGACTATTATTAGCTTTTATCAACTTTAAAATCTCTCCAGTAATCGAACTCTACAAATGGTCATACGTCATGAAAAATGGTCATACAAAATTTGAATTGAATTGTTCCGATATTATTATTGTGCAACAGGTACGATTGGCCTCCGAAGTTTAGATAACCTATGCATTGCATTACTAATTGTCCACTAAGACAACTAATTAGCGATTAACTAGTTAGCTACTGAAATTAGTCTGTTGTCTGAGTACTAAACTTAAGCGATTTAATCTTTAGCCGATTGTCCTTTTCTTTGTATTGCTAAGCTGCCCCCCTTGCAACAACTACACTGAGTTTAATCAAAATCACTTTCAGAAATCCCCACAATAAAGCCTTGTACTCAGATTATCGATATCGATATTCGTGTTAAATGATACCTGGGTGGATGAAAAATTTGAATGGCCGTACAGATTTTTCGGTTACATATTATTAAAAAATTTAAACAGAACAGATTTAAGATAAAAACCACGCGTTGTCAAATCGTAAATGGAGAATATTGTATAGAGAAACAAAGCAATCTAGAGGGTGTCAGAGTAAATATAATTGGGAAAAATGACGCCCTTTAGATCCCATTTAATATTGTTCACGATCACCATCTCTATTATTTTGATATGCATTGGATCGATCTTCATTCGGTTCGGTTTCCACCAGGAACTGGTGCGGGACAAGACGAACGGCGTTAGGATCATCATGGTGTTGATGTTCCAGTACCTTGTCGGAGATCCCATCAAGTTTATCATCATCGCAGTGGATCGCACCATTTGGCCGCGGGATCATTATGTGCCGGACATGGACAAGAGCAGGCCGGAATACGATAGGGAGGACTTTCTGGTGCAGAAAGTGGAGCGCCAGCGGCGAAACCTGTTGATCACCTCGCAGTATCGGAACGAGAAGCTGAACGAGATGTACAAGGAGATCAGCAGGGATCTGTGGCTGTTCGGGCGCTACTACTTCTGGCTGATGCTGGCCATGCTGGCGACCTGGGAGCCGCGCGTCTACCGCAGCTCGGACATGATCAAGAAGCTCATGCTGTTCAATCACACGGACTATTATGGCCTCGAGGAGCTGGTGCACATCAATCAGCTATTCGACTACATCGAGATCAATCTGATCAACACCTTCGACACGAACTCCACCACCCTGGGCACCACCTTCACCAGCCCCCCCTGGGTGCACGCCGAGCAATGGGTGATGCTGGGCGTTATCCGCGTGCGGCAGCTGCGGCGGAGCAGCCGCAAGATCGGCTGGAGTGCTCCCGAATACACGGACTCGTCCTACCTGCCCGGCTGGCAAAAGCCCTACAAAGTGGTGCCGTACGAGGATCTGCACTGGCGCGTCACACGCCCCTGGGTGCCCATGAAGTGGTTGGCGATTGATAGCTTCCTGCTGAACTTCCATCACATTGGCTTCTTCGACTACTATCCGGAGCTGAGGGGCTACTCGACACTGCTGTCGCGCAGCAAAGTCAGCACCAAGATGGTCCTCGACTTCCTCACCGAACAGCACTGGCTCACAAGGAACACGTCGGCGATCTTTATAGACTTCACCATGTACAATGTGGACATGAATCTGTTCAGCGTGATCACGCTGCGCCTGGAGCAGCTGCCCTTCGGGGGTGTCCTGCCGCACGTGGGCGTGGAGGGGTACGTCCTGTTGCGGGACTTCGATCATCTCAAATGGTACGACCTGTTCGTCTATATGATCTACATACTGGTGCTGCTGCAGTTCGGGAAGGCGACGGTGAACAAGGTGTGGTACGATTCGCGCACCCTCAAGAACGTGTGGAACATCATGGACCTGCTGATATTCGGACTGAATGCAGTGGTCCTCTGGGTGATGTTCTTTCGCGCCTCGCTGGTCCGATCAATGCTCAAGAATGTGAGTGTCTTCGGGAACATGGATTTTGTGGACTTTCGGCGAGGATCGCGGCTCGAAGGGCTCGTGCATATGCTGATCGGGGTGCTCATCTGTCTGACAACGCTGCGGCTGTGGCGGATCCTGCAGTTCGCGAATGTCTTTCATTTGTTCAACCAAACGCTGCGCATGGCCTGGCAGCCGGTGGTCAGCATGGCCATGATGATATTGATCTTTCTGTTCGGCTTCTGCATGATGATGGTCATCATCAATGGGAACAATAGCATCTATTTCAATCGCTTCTTCCAGAGCCTGATCACCTGCATGTGCTTCTCGTTCGGCTTCAGCTCCCACATCCATCCCAGCGAAATGTTCCACGGCGGCAAGGCCGTCGGACTGATACTGTACGCCATCCTGGGCTTCTTCATCTGCACCGTCCTGATCAATGTGTTCGTGGCGATGATCAACAACTACTTCACGATGGCCAAGGAAAGGCGCGACCTGGAGGAGGTGCAGCACCTTGACTTCTTTCAGTTCCTGCGCGTCGAGTATCAAGGCCTATTCGATTTCTACATGCGTTTGCCCTGCTTTCGGCGGGGATACAAGCGAAACAAGCGCACCGTCGGTCAGAATATCAGCATCACGACGGACTACATTGAGCGGAAGATTCGATTCCAGCGTCGCCGCAAGAAAATCAAGATTGTGGATGAGGCCAAGGAGGAAAGCGACTTCCAGATGCGCGGCGAGCAACTGCTTCTCGTTGGCGAGCACATGGAGACCCAGTTGCAGCTGCTGCGTCTGCGGCTCTTCGGTGAAAAAGCTGAAGAAGCAATTCGTCCCAAACAGAAATGGCGTTTATTTAGTCGTGCATAAATATTTCGTATAGAACAAAAAAACCTCCAGCCCGCGCATTACATCTGTTTTTGTTTTTGGATATCCGATAACATGCTATCGACATTTCTGCTGACGTTTCCCAACACTACCCCACGAAACAATTATTAAATGGAAAAAACTAATATTTTAACGGCTATTTTGATCACAGGGCCCCCGGGTAAGTCTTGTCGTGCACCCAGCAATCTCCCCTTCATCTCCAGTATCCCTTCAGGTGTTGGCAAGACCACGTTGGTTCGTAAGATCTGCTCAAAGTTGAGCGAGCAGAGCAAGCTCCAGGGATTCTACACGGAGGAGGTGCGTGCCGATGGAAAAGGGCAGCGCATCGGCTTTGATGTGGTCACCCTGACCGGCGAGCGAGGAATACTGGCGCGGGAGCGGCCGCTGGACAACCTGCGACGCCCCAAAGTGGGCAAGTACTCGGTCTATGTGAAGGACTTTGAGGATCTGACGCTGCCACTGCTCGATGGCAGTCATTCCGGCTGCGAGCTCTTGGTCATCGATGAAGTGGGCAAAATGGAGCTGCTGAGCAAGCGCTTCGAAACTGCCATAGCCAAAGTCCTCCAGCAACAACGCCCCATTCTGGCCACCATTCCACAGACGACCCGCCAGTCTATGCCGCTGGTGGAGCGATTGAAGAGCGCCCCCGGCGCTGTCATCTTCGAGGTGACCAAAACCAATCGGGATTCCCTGGTAGGTCAGATTACGGAGCGCATTACACAGTGGAAATTTTTAACATAATAATCTTGTTGGTCTGTTTATTAGCACCCAAGGGGCTGCACCTCCTCCTCCACCACCTCCTTATCATCGTCAAATTTCCCAGTGGTCCCTGTGGTGGTGCTACGCTTCCGCTGGTGTTGTTGGGGCAGGCGGTGGCATGGCTGTTGAGGACTGGGACTCGCTTTTGCGGGTGGAGCGCTTGCGCACTCGCTTCGTCTCCTTGGCCCAGTCCATTTCGTTGTAGTGTTGCTCCGAGGCGCGCCAGTGTAGCTCCTGGCGCTGCACCAGTTCCGGATGCTTCTGCTCGAACTCCTTGTCCGGCGGCAGCAGCAGCTCCCAGCGTTTCGTAGTGTTCACTTTGGCCACGGTCCTCAGGACATCGAAGGTCTCCGCGGGCGGCAGCTGGGTGGCGGCCATCACCTGTGTACGGTGCAGGCACGCCGTTCGCGAGAATCTATAGAGCTGCAGAGGGTCGGACATTTATAGACAAATGAAGGATATGTATGTAATGTTTCAGGCCTCACTATATAGTCCCTGGCGCGTATCATTTGCTCGGCAGTGACACCGTTGGCGTGGGAAAGCATCTTTTCGGGAAAGACCACCTCCGATTTGGGCACCCAGTTGCCGTTCAGCAGAATACCGACCTGGGGCAGCAGGGCCAGCACCTTGTCGGGCGTCACATGGGGATCCACTTGCTCCATGAGTATCTGGAGGACATCTCCGAACGACAGCATCCTGGCGTCCTTGAGCAGGATACGCAGCTGGTCCAGCAGCGGCATAGTCTTCAGCATGGCCTTGTTGTACACGGGCAGCACACTGGACTCGTCCACCTTCTGCACGTTCTCGTTGTACGGCAGCAGCTTGTGCAGGTAGTCGCTGGAACTGAGAGTCAGCGAAAGGTTCGACTGGTGGTTGGTGGCATAGAGCTTCTGGCGTTCCAGCTCCACCGCGGCTGAGGTACGGGCGTGCCATAATGTCTCGCACCACGGCTCGTCAACAATGCGCTGGACAAAGCTGTCGTACGTGCCACGCTCCTCCTTCGTCTTCTTGGATGCGGCTCCCTTGTCGCGAGCGAACTTCACTGTGACCTGCTGCAGCACCTCGTCGTCGTCCACATCGTCGTTTTGGGCCTTTTGCTCCGCTTTCTTGCGCTTGTCCTCCTTGTCGAAGTGGCTCAGGGCGGGCCGCAGCTGAACAATGCTTGTCAGCGGCGATAGGTGCATCTCCTTATCCGCGTAGATGCCCACAATATACTTGGAAATGTCTGTCAGCGAGCGCGTGCTGGTGAAGGCCTGCTTGTCCATGATCCCACGCTTGTAGGTGGGCCGCTCACCGCCCTTCGACGGCAAGGCGCCGAATGTGTTCTTCCCGTCGGCGGCCACCGCGAACTGCTCGCCCTTAAAGCGATCGTAGTGTTTCGATTCCGTGTTCAGGGCGAAGTCCACCTTGACTTCCTGGGTGAACGGCTTTACGCAGCAGTTGATGACCACGGACTCGTCGTGGTTTGGCAGCTCCGTCTTTGTGGGGTATTGGAAAAGGTACAAGCTGTCGTGCAGGGTCTTTGACAGAAACACGGGCATCTGGGGGGGATTTGCAATTGAGTTATGGCTACAAACGTTGGTACTCCACTCGGACTTACCTCCTCCACAATCGGATCCTCCTCCTCGTCCATTTTTAATTAATAAAATTAGCTAATTTTTTGTTGATTTGAGGAGCACTTAATACCGCATGCCACCAGTGTGACCGCAGACTTATCGATAAAATATACCGTCCTACCCTCAGAAATATACCGAAATATATATATATAAAGTTATACGATTAACAGATCAATTTTCTACTTGACTGGCTTACTTTAAATAATTGCTTTTATTGGATTTCTATATAACGTTGAAAATGAATTTCAATAGATTGATGAAATTGACAAAATACTACAAAACCACAGCCGAAAAATACTAAAACATTCAAAATACTGAATCTTAGGTGCTTTTCCAGCACTTGTTGCTTTGGAAGACAGTGGTCGAAGAACAACGAAAACTCCACAAAAAACATACATAACACTGCGAAAACATTGAAATTAATTGGTGATAATACTATAAGTAACTAACTGAATTGTATCAAGATCTCTTCATAAAAGTTCATATTTTATTCTACATTGTTAAACTATTTATTTATTTCTAATTATTTTGATTGTAATTTATATTATAATGGTGCAATTGGAAATAAAAAATATGTTATTATCATAATTATATTCCCTGATAAAACAATTCTTAACAACAATTTGAGCCTGTCTTTGGCTCACTGTGCCGTGGGAAACGAGTCGAAATTCAAAATCAATTTACGATACCGATTGGAGCTAATTTTTGATAAATCTTGAAGTCGAAAAACTACTCTTGGTATCTAATGGTATATTTCATCTATTGTGGGGCGTATTAATTATAAAAGTTAGCTTAGAGAATGCATAGCAGTTTCAATGCACCACATTTTGTAGGAGGTAAATTCAATAAAAAGCATACAAGAAGTTACAAACATGAAAACATCTCCACTTGTATATTAGTATTAGTATTTTCTAATATTTTGCAGTATATTATGAAAAAATTATATGAAAAAAATGGCCAAAAACGTACACATTTCCCCTTCAGGTGTCGCTTTTGGTAATTACATAAAAATGTAGTTAATAGTGTAGTTACAATGTAAAGACATTAATTTAGTGGACATTTTGTTGACCGTTTTTGTTTAAACCTTATTTTAAAAGCAATGCACTAAAGATGAAAACTTTAATTTAACCAGTCTTGGAGAAAATTGATTTAATAATCAGATGAAATTATAAGTTCAGAGCTGAGAGTCTTAGCTAGCTAGTAATAATGAAGCGAATATCAAAAACGAGAATATGATGCAACTTGTATACAAATAATTCGTCAGTATATTTACGGTATATTTTGAATTTTGTGATCTGTGCCCCAGACCTTGGAGAACAATTTTGGCCCTAAAATTCTAGATATAATATATAAAATGTATATGTACGGGGCGCACATAACACGCGATCATGTTCACGGTCACATCGGAAATCTACAGTGAAACCAACTACCAGCCGACGAAGACGGAGGATGGCCACAAAGTGGTCTCCAAGTTCCGTTTCCGGTATCCCGACGAGAAGCTGGAGCGGATTGGGCGCACCACCGCCGATAAAGATGGCGATCTGGACGTGCCACGGCCGCGTCGGGGCGTCATAGAACTTGAACATTCCGAGGCCACGGAGCTGAAGCTGGTGGGACTGCAGGTGTGGCGCGGAGCGCTGCTCCTGGCGGACTATTTGTTTTCGCAGCGGGAGCAGCTGGCCAACCAGACCATAATGGAGCTGGGCGCCGGCGTGGGACTGACCAGCATAGCAGCGGCCATCCACAGCGGTGGACAGGTCTACTGCACGGACGTGGATCTGGGCTGCATCCTGAAGCTTATCCGTGGAAACGTGCAGCGGAATGCAGGCCTGCTGAGGAGCCAGGTGTCGGTCCTGGAGTTCAACTTTCTGATACCCCGAGAAGAGCAGGCGCCAGAGCTCCTGTCCGCCATCGATGCCAGCGATGTGATTCTGGCTGCGGATGTGATCTACGATGACACCCTCACCGACGCCTTCGTGACCGTTGTCGATCAGATCCTGGCCAGAGGACGACCGACTGGCAGGCCCAAGACGATTTACATGGCCCTCGAGAAGCGCGTTGTGTTCACCTTCGAGGACTGCGACTCGGTAGCGCCCATGTACGAGTATTTCCTCAAGCAAACAGCCCACAAACCGTGGCAACTGGAGCACCTGCCCCTGGACTTTCCGCAGTATTTTGACTACGATCGCTGCCGTCAGCTGATTCTAATGAGGATCACCAGCCGCTAGCCGCTAGCCGCTGGAGCATACCACCGGCTGTTCCCTGCCATTCATGAATAAACGTAACCGAAACCAATCCCCCCCACACAGAGAAGAGAGTATTCCCAAATGTATTATGTGAGCCGTCCCCTTTAATGTGGATGGAGTGATAAATATTACTTAACTATAACCTGAACCCATGGAAATTGTGATGCTGGTGCCTGCTGCTGGTCAGAGATCCTGCATGGCCAGGATGATGTTCTCCAGAGCCTGCCGCGCGTCTGTGGCCGGAAAGTGCTGCAGCACGGCCAGAGCAGCCGCCGTGTGCTTCCTCTGGAGCTCTTTGGTCTTGGCCAGGGCAGGGCCGGCCAGGACGGCCTTGTGGATCTTGTCGTAGTCGATGTTGTCCACAGACTGCTTGCCCTGCTCCAGCTGGGCGTACAGGCTGGGATCGTGCTCCAGGTGGAAGAGCACGGGGGCACTGACCAGGCTGAAGGTGGTGTCCAGGGGCAGGGTGGGACACTGGAAGGGCTCGGCGTCCAGGCAGGCCTGCCAGGCGAGGGCCAGATGCTTGCCAAAGCGATACGCATGACGCTGCAGCTCCTCGCTCTGGCCGGCCAGCTTCAGCGAGGCCTGGCAGGACTTGCCCAGCAGGCTGCCCGCATTCAGGATGTTCCGGCACTCCCACTCCTGCTCGGGATTGCCCAGCACCTGGGCAATGGGCATGGGCGTCATCACGTCGTGCTCGTTGAAGTCCACGGCCACGCTCAGCGAGGGTCGCTGGAAGGTGCCCGGCTTGTAGGGCAACGGATTGTTCTGCTCGTCCCGCTCCCCGATGAACTCCGATTCGGAGAAGTCCCGCACGGCCGAGGAGATGAGCTCCACCACCTCCTGGTTGCGCAAATTGGCCAGCTCCGCGCTCGAGTGTCCCAGCAGATAGTCGCCGGTGAGCAGGCCGATCTTGTTGCCGAACGACATGTCGTCGTAGGTGGCCGCATCCTGGCCAGCCTCCGTGCTGGACTGCAGGTTCACCACGCTCTGGGAGAGAAGAGTGGGTTTGGGTTTGGGTTTGTGTTAGAGAATCGTTTCAATGGAAAGTGGAAAGGATCAGCATACATTGTGCACCAAATGGGAGATCCGTATCATCTCGGTGACCTCGGCGAGGGCGCGCTGGGAGTGCAGGACGCCGGCACTCTTGTCCTGCTCCACATCGGGCACACTGGGCGCATGTCCGGCTGCCTTGGACACCAGCAGCACAATCAGTCCCCAGGCCTGCATCGTGTTCTTGCCATTGTAGAGCAGATGCCTACGATACAGCGATTTAGAAACGAGGATTAGGACTTCATGGATGATGCACTCACTTGGCCGTCTTCATCAGGGGATGGGCACTGCCCACCAGTTTGCGTAGATGCAGCGCCACATTGGCGATCTCATCGCTCAGGAGCCACCGCAGGCTCAGGAACGACGTTGGATAGCCGACAATTCGCTCCGCCTCGCTGACGGCACGATTCCAGTCGTGTCTGGGCGGCGGTGTCGTCACCTGTTTGCTGCTCACCGTCGACGTTGCAGTCCAGCGCACCTGTTCATGCCTCTGCTGCTGTCGCAGAGTGAAAGTTTTCAGCGCAGGCGCGGCCAGGCTCACAGCCAGACGACCCTCTGGCGCGGGCATCCTGTGGCGCAGCTGTTGCATAATTCGTCCACTGGCGCGGTACATCTCGTTATCGTGGGGTTTCTCGGGGTGTTTCTCGCTTCGGTTGGGGTCAGGTACAAAGTGCTCCTCTAAGCTGGCTTTCAGTCTCAATTAAACAGAAATCGTTGGCTGCGCACCGTTCAACCGCTCGCTCGCTCCGAATCGAAAAGTGAAATCTCCGACGACGCGACGTCTCGACTCTCGTTTTGGCTGCGTCGCAGCGCTGCCGCTGCCACTGCTATTGTTGTTGCTGCTTCTTTGCTGGCGGCCCACTTTTACAGTTGTTCAAGCGGCCGCCAAGAAATCTGTTTGTTTTTATAGCCCCACGCTTTGTCATGGAATTTCGGGTGAGGCGTCAACGGTGGTGCAACGGCGCGATGGTATTTAGCGGGAACAGGTTTTTGAACAGGGCCGCATGTTTGGATCAACGGACTTGTCTGAATTCAAAAATTCGACACATGGACGCGCAGCAACCGTTCGGTTCAAAAAAATTGGAAGTTTTGACCCGTTGCATCAATCCCGTTTTGGGAAATTGCTGAGGAAAAATGGGGTACGGACAAGAGGCAAAACGGCCCAGAAAAGCCAACGCTTGCAAGGTACCTACCACCCCTTTTGCCTAACATACCATAACTTCATAGCATATTGTCCCCAAACACGCCGAGGTGAGGTTCGCACGAGCTTTGCAATTTGCCATGGTTGCTTTCGTCTGTTGTCCATACCCCTCTCTATAGCGACTAATTTTGTTGTTGCATGTCTGAGCAGGAGAGAGCAGCAGTGTGACCGTCTGACCTTCGGACATATACCGTCTCATTTTCATAATATATCGTTAATATACTAATGAAAAAAGAACATAGCCCACTTAGGCCCCCTCTCTTTAAACAGGATAACGACTTGAGTTAAATCGCGGAATTCAATGATAATTTTAATTCTCCTTGTATATCTTTATCATCTTTACGTCTTATTCATATTTACTTTAAACAAATACCACGATATCTTTCAGCTCAACTGCGCTAAAGCTTTTCAAGATTCATAATTTTTGTAAAGGTTTTAAAATACCCACTCGTCGACAGTGGGCTAATCGTTCTATGTACTAGGTAGCTAGGACATTCAGCACTGAAATCATAGTTTAGTCGATAAATGAATCAATTTTCTATAATATTTCCTAATTTAATTACTCCCTTTCATTTGATTGTGTCTTAAATAAGAATGAAGTGTATATGTAACGTAAGTGTTCATGTGTGTTGGTCAACAGGTATCCGCTCTGAGTATGGACATCTTTATACCCTATTTTCCTTAACCAATATTAAAATTAGGTTTTCCAAGCTGATTTGAAAAATTACTAATAACTTTTTCTCAGATTGACAAGCTTTAAACCTATTTAGCCATATAATTTGTTCGTGTATATATAACTCGATGCCAATATCTATTCTTGGTCTCTGTAAAAAGACCACTAACTGGAAATATCGTCAATAGCTTTAAACCAGAAAGGCCTAGTTTCTGCATTCATTGGAGCCTGAGCTGACAAACATTTCCTGAATTCTATAATATCCCCTTCCCAGGGATATACAGATATTCTGTAATTGTAACAAAGGGATAGCGATACTATCGACAGGATAGTAGAACAGCGCGCGTAAGTTAATAGTGAATGAGCGACAAGGATATCAATGCAATCCAGCGGAATAATAATATACCTAATATACATTTATACTTGAAATTTAATAGATTGATGAAATACCATCTACTAATCAAATATACTATAAGTACACCTCCTACTCAATTTCACGTAAAAATAGAAGTAAGTAAGTAGTCACCCTGATAAGAGGTGTACAACTGTCGATAGCTATTTTGTTATCGTGATAGCATCGTTAGCCTCAGGCGAATTTCATATATTTTGGTATTTTTCGTACTCAGTTCACGATTACACCTATCGCATGAATATTTCATTACAATATAATTAGTACAACAAGGGTATTGGTCAGGTGAAATAATAAACATCCTCCCCGTTTCACATAAATTTTACTAACCACAAAAGCGGCACTTGTCATTTGATTCGTTACAAATCCCTCCCACACCACACTACACTAAGGTTTTAGATAGAAATATCGATATATAAATCGATGGTCGTGCCAGCTCTAGTACTTTGCAGCCGTAGTATTTTTCCGTAACGCTCGACGGTCACACCGGCCAGTTTTTCCCTGATATTTTGTTGCAAAAATTTGTTACAAAAAATATCGATCGCAGATTTTTCCCGTGAGAAAGTGGCACAAAAATAAACGGAAAAAACCCAGAATAAAGCGATAAGAAATGTCTCCAAAAATGTACCCAGAAAAACAAAAAAAAACCCGTTCGATGCCAGTGTGTAATGGAGAGAGACCGATTGCGTGTGTGTTTGGATGTGTGTGTGTGTGTTAGTGCGGTGGAGGGGATACCGCAGATAGCTGCGCTGCAACAAATTAAAATAAATAACAGTATCAAGTGCCGTTGCGTTCCACGGGGATTGTGAATGTGTTTTTTCCCGCAAAATGTTGCGGCATTTAAATGTTTCCTGCTGGTGAAGCGGCTAATAGTTTAATCGCTTAAGCGGTCGATTTGCCGCTGCAGAGGAAGGAAGACAGCGGCTGTTGTCTGCTTGTGTGTGTTCGTGGAGGTGGAGTAGGAGGTGATATTCAAAGGACCAAAAGGAAATGCCGCCTCCGCAGAGTCGCCCTGGAGGGGAATGCAACAACTGTAACATTTTTTTGTCTATTTTTTTTTAGTATCCCCAAAGTCAAAAATCCGATGTGTACACACAGATTACTGCGAAGAAACAAGAGAAAACGGGGCGAAAAGAAAACTACGAAAGTGGTTGCTACTGCTGCTGCTCTGGCTATATGGATGTGTTGTGTGTTTTACTGTGTGTGTGTGAATGCGAGAGGAATGCTGTCTATGTATCACGTTTCGCACTGCGTGTGTGTGTGTGCAGTGTTGTATAGTGCATAAATTATGGAATCTGTCTTGATTTTTTGCTATAATCTTTAAACAAAAAAAGACAGTTTATTTTTTTTCATATAGGGTACACCTAGGACCCAATCGATCTGGTTGCATCCCCAACCAGCATTCGATAGTGTCGTCAGAGAGAGAGGCGATGCGATGCAAGATAGAGAGAGCCGCGCATTTAATAAACAGACGCCGCCATGCAAAACACATACTAGTGCAATAAAACTTGTTTGGACGCTCTCTCTCCCTCTCTGTGGTCTTTGCAAAAAGAGCAAAAGCCGCTATTCTCTGTTGCTCTGTGCGAGCGTGTGTGTGTGTGTGAGAGTGTTTGACAAATCTTCTTTAGCTGCTGCTGCTGCTGCTTCTCGCTACTCGCTGCTCACACAACTACTTCGAAGCAGTGGCAACAGCAAGCAGAGCCAGCGACAGAGGCACAGCTAGGCGAGCAAAATTTCCATTGTGTGTGGCAGAGTAGAAGCAGCAGCCCCGCGCAGCCATCAGCAGCAGCAGCCAACGGAACACGGTTGGTCTCGGGTCGGCCCGCAGTCGGTCTACAATTTTCTGACTCGTCATTTGTGTTGTGTGTTGTGCGAAACGCCAGCAAAAGGCGATTGCAAAGAGAGAGATGTGTGGTGTGGTGCACATATACGTTAAACGTTGAGTAATAATATTAAAAATAATGTGTGTTTTAAAATCGCAATCGCACTGGTTTTTTTTTCTTTTTTTTCGTGTATTTAGTGCAAAGCTGTGTACAAAAAAGTGCCAAGCAGTACGTTCCCAGTCCCTGTCTTTGCTGCTGCTTCTCTGTAAGAGTGCCTGTGTGTGTGTATTACTCATCTGCCTGCTGCTGCTCACCCTCCCTCCCTCCCCCCCGACTCCTCAAGCAGCCACAAATATTTACCGTATTCGAGAAATGCAGAGCGGCGATCGAAAAATCGAAATACCGAAAAAGTGTATACACAAAGTGCAGTGGAGGGAAGAGCAGAGCAGAGCAGACAAATGGCGACGCATTTAAAGAGTTATGGATGGTTGGTTGGGTGGGTGAATACGGTGGGGGGTGGGGTGGTTCAGGCAGCCAGAAGCCATGCATATGAGAAATTTTGAAAAAAAAAACTTGCCAGGTTTTTTTTTTTTTAGTTTTTTGTCTACATCAACGATTAACGAAAACCCCAACGACTTTCATCGTCGCGAGTCGTGCGTCGGTGTAAGCGAGTGTGTGTGACTGTGTTTCTAGAAATATATATGTATGAAACTCGCTCTTTTAGTCGTCACGTCGCCGCTGCCGACTGCCTTGAAAAAAGTCACGCTCTCAGCACTGCTCTCTCTCTCTCTCACTGTGAGCAGCAGCGGAATGAATGGACAGACTAGCGAGAGAGCAATCGAATGAGAACGAACGTTCGTCGTCCACCCTTGTAATTGCCGTGTATCTGTGTGGCTCGGCTCTCTGGGCGAGTACATGTGTGAGTGAGGAAAGCAGCAGCCACAGTAGCAACAAATAAGCAGCAGCCAAAAGCCAAAATCAAAAACAATAAGAAAAGAAAAAGCACAAATTATTGTTCATTATTGTTGGGGGTGTATGTGTGTGAGTGTGTGGATGCAGTGTGTAGTGGAATACAACGGTAGATAATGGGTGCGTGGAAATCTAATAAATGCTTTTTATCTTCCAGAAATGTGCTGCAGTGTGTGTGTGTCATTGCCAAAGCAACAACGTTAACGTTTAAATAAATAATTGTGAAAGAAAAGCAGAGAACGAGAGGAAAATATAACTGAATATTTAACCAAAAAAGCAACAAATACAAAATACAAAAACGAATCAACAGCAATAACAACATCATAGAGGAGGAGGAGAAGGAGTGAAGTAGAAGAAGAAGAAGCAGTAAACCGTTCACTTTGTGTATCTCTGTGCGTCCCTGTCTCTCTTACTGTTCGTCTGCCTGCAGTGCCTCTATGTGTAGTTGTGTATGTGTGCATATTCTGTCGCAGCAGAATCAATAAAAAAGTAAAAAGTATACAAATTCAAAACGCAAATGTGCAAAATACCAGAGAGACAGTAGTAATCCATTACAAAATAAAACACACATTTGAGAAAATGAGGTGCTGCTGCCGTGGAAACAAGAAAAGCCAAGAACTATGACGCATCAAAACCATCAGACAAACGGCGCTAGTTTGGAGGATTGCCATACAAACTTTTATGCCCTGGTAAGTACCCATTTGTCCCACTGTGACGGAAAGATCTAGGTCAGTGCGAATTGTAGGGCCTTAGGAGCGGGGAGGGAACCACCCACACGGCGAGTGTTACGATCGTTTGGAAAACACTGCTGTCACTGCAGCAAAAGTGTGTCTGTGTGTTCGTGCGTGTGTGTGTGTGAAGGGGAAGTAGCTGCAGGAGGAGCGTGGCGTGGGAAGGAAGTAGCCGCTGTGAAAAAGAGCGTGAGAAGGAAGTAGATGCTTCTGGAGAGTGTGTGTGTGTGCGCGTTTGTGTGAAAAGGAAGTGTTGCTGCGAAGGAATAGACACAAAAGAGACAACTGCCGCCTCTCCCCATAACAGGTTCTCCAAGTAACAGAGGCAGCGACTGCGACTAGTTTGTTGGCCCCGCGATTGCTGCTGCTGCTGCTTTTCTTTTCTCTTTTTTTTTTTTTTTTTGTTTCTTTAATGAATATCCCCCCGAAAGGCGGAATGAGAAGCGGAACGGAACGGACAACAAACGGTGACGACGTCAACGACAGTGCGTACAAGTCAACGTGCTCCACTCGCCGTTGCTATCTCCTCTCCCCCGCCACTGCCGCTGCCGCCGTCGCTGCCCTAAAGAGACTCGACGCCAACGAAATAACGAAACAATAACAAACGCGCCAAACTTTCTCTGAGAGAGATAGAGAGCAACGAGCGACAGAGATAGAGAGAGAGAGAGAGAGGGAGAGAGAACGAGCAGAAATCAGTTTGAACTTGAGAGGCACGCGCGCGTGAACAAACACAAGCAAAAAATATGTCGTGATAACAGCAGGAGAGCAGCATTCGCTCTCACTTATACACTTACATTGAGAGAGAGAGAGGCCAAGACTGAGAGAGCGCATGAATATTGCAAAGCGGTATGGTGAGGCAGAGACGCTGACGTAGACAGCAGGCAGAAACCTACATACAACTGTTGTTGGGGGCTCTGCCCCGAGACAATGTACGGGGGGGAATTCGCCAAAGAATCTCCGCGTACAAGTGCTATGGTCAAAATGCGATAGCGCTCGCCCCAAAAATAAAAGCCAATAAATAAAAGAACAAAACGAAAACGAAGCAAGAAAGCAGCGAGTGGCAGCACCAGCAGGCAGTCAGTCGGCAGGCAGGCAGACGAAATGAGAGCGAAAATGAAAACACAGCAATGCAAAAAGAAAAAGAAGCAAAAAACGGAAGAATGTGGAACATTTTTCGGTGGGCCGACGAGAGAGCTATGGCTATGGCTATGGGCGAAGCAGTGTATGGCCCAAGCCCCAGAAGGTGCGGTGCGGCAGAGAGGATGGGGGCCGGCTCGTTCCGTTTCATTCGTGGTTTGGGGGAATACCTTTCGGTTGCTATTGTGTGTCTGTGTGCGTTTGTGTGTTGTCCGCTTGTCTGTCCGCTTGGCTGTGTCTGTGTCTGTGAGCGGTGCAGTTATTTATTTTGGCTCTATCTCGCTTGTGCACCCACGGGCCATTGATTTGTGAACTGCTTGCAGCAGCAGGCGCGACCGCCGCCAAGCAGAGGAATCCGAATTCAAGCAGCCAGCAACTTGTTTCCAGCCAAAGACCCAACACGAAAACAAAAACAAAAAAAAATACTCAGCGGAAGCCGCCAATGACGACCCCAAGCCGAGACTTGGCCAGGCCCAAGCCACTAGCTTGCCATCCCCTTCCCCGTCCCCGTCCCCGTCCCTGTCCTTCTTCTTCTCGTTGCTCAAGTTTTTCTTGTCTTGCCTCTGACTCTGCCTCTGCCTCTGCTGTGGCTCTCTGCCTTTTTTTTCGTGCTTTTGTTTTGAGTTTCGAGCAGATTCGAGCTTCGCTTTGGTCGTTTTCTTCTTTTGTTGCCGTTGGGGCCGCCGCCGCCAAGTGCAGCGCCGTGGAATTCGTGTGTGTGTGTGTGTGTGTGTGTGTGATCTGCGCGGCTGTGAAACACTGAGACTATGGGATGAGCATTTCTGTTTTATGCCCAGAACGAAGTATCTTCCAAACAGGAATGAAAATACCCTTGGGGAAACCATACTTTCGAGCCCCATCCCCACCAACCCACAGGTCAAATAAATGTTTATTAAAGTTCACAAGGGATTTCTGCTAAGAAGGAAATAAATGCCATGCCTAAACGATTTAATGAGAGGGAATTGCAGTGAAAACCGGGGGGGTTGGGGGTTGCACGGGGAAAAGGGCCAAATGCATGAATATCTTAAATTGAAACAGGTATTATTGTTTATTTGTAATTTGAAGTGGCCGAAGATCGATGGTATTTGGCATTATTGTGAAATTCCCCCCCAAAGCTGCTTTAAAACTTGTACAAGTTCTGTACCAAGAAGATACCGACAAAAGGACATCCATTTAAGAGGAATTAACACGAATTTGATTGAGATTGAAATTTGTTTGCTTCGCTGACACGTCTGTAGGTCTGCGTCTGTTTATATTGTATTGTATCCACAGTTGTGAAAGTCGTGTTGCAGCTGCAATAACAAAGCTGAATCGTGGATTTATTACAAATACAGGGGCAGTAGTGGGGATGGGATGGCGCAGGCCTCTATAGATAGTGACGGGGGCGCAGACACTTTCCTGCGTAGATATCCGTATCGATTGGCAATATTACACAATTATTTGCTTTCGATTGGGGCTTATCAATGGCCGGCCCGACCCTAGCCGACCCGCCTTCAGAGGCAATCGTTTGGGGATCTGGACGGACAATCAATAAAAAGCGACGATAATTAATTGAAACATTAACTCTTCCTTTCAGACTGATTTATGTGGAATAAAATGGCGGAAGTTCGTCAATGGGGAACGGCCGAATGCGTCGAGCGATCCGTTGGCCGATCCCATACTGCGCTCCTACTCGCGATGCATCCAGGCGGACATGCTCTGTGTGTGGCGCCGGGTGCAGTCCCACAAGCCGGACAACACCGATCCGAATGCCTTAACCTTTGAGATTACCACATCGACCAAGGTCCACCCGCCCCTATCGCTGGCCGCCGCTAAGGAGCTGTGGATATTCTGGTACGGGGAGGAGCCCGATCTCAGTGACCTGGTCGACGCCGAATTGCTGAGAGTAGCGGGTAAGTTGATAAACGCTCAAGATTCCTGTTTTGATGGAGTGTATTATCTTTGGGATCCCTTTTTTATATGCACTCGTTCAGTCTCCTTCTCTCTCACACACACTCACAAACACACGTGCAAGCGATGATGAATTGAATAAAAAGCTTCAAGGCCGCATCGCATGCACCGCAACAGCAACAACAGCAGCAGCACCAAAATGCATGCGTGTGTGTGTGTGTGTGTGTGTGTGTGTGACTCGGAATGAGAAAACTCAAAACATTCAAAACACAAACACAAATACAGGCCACAAACACACGCGAGATATTTTCGATTGCCGCAGATGATTATTGTTCTCCTTTCGACGTCACTCACATGGTATGGTGGTGAGTTTGGCGTTGCCGTTGCCGTTGACGTTGGCGTCGACGTCAGCGTCTGTCAGCAACAGCAACAGCAACAGCAACAAACGTCAATCGTAGGCGGCCGTACCTCTTTCGCCCACTCACTGCCCCCTCCAGCCAAGACAAAGACGAGTGAAACGTCACCTGTCACTTGCAGTATTTTTGCGGTGCTCTCTCGCTCTCTTTCTTCTGCCAACTATGTATCTCGCTCTCTCTCTCTCCCTCTCTCTTGTCCACTCTTACGCTCTCTGGCGTAACTATGCAAAACGGCTGGCTCTCACTGGTTTTGGTCTTGGCTCTGGCTCTGGCTCTCTTTACTGGCTCCCCTACTTGTGGGCGGACTGGGAGGGTTTTTGGTTCTGTACACACGAACATCATGGCTGGCCTTCGGGCAGTGCGCGCGGCCATCATTCGGCACCATTCTTATCAGCTATTTGGTGTGGCTACTATTTATTCAATATTTTTGCTATTGCCACCATTATCTCTGACCACAAAAACTATGGTGTGGTGGTACTCGGAATTGGGTTTTGTTTTCTGTTCCGTTGGTCCGTTCGTCTCACGATGGGGCTGTGGGACTACGGCAAATTCCATAACCAGAGACCGACCCGACCCCCAGAACTAAACGCCGTAATCTGTGTACCTTGTTCGACTACGTCATTCTGTCGCGTCTCATTTACGTTTACCGTTAACCTGGCTCTCTGGCTGCGACGTCGGCGTCGTCTGCGTTCTGCCCTGGCCTCTGTCCGCTGCCTTGAGTTGAATGCACGCGACGTCGCTGCTCTGCTTGTCCCGTCTCTCGCTGATGAAATTATTGCCGCGGCCGCGTCGCTGCCTCGCTGCCTCGTTGCCTTTGTTTTTTGTGCTTTTGTCATTGTCGCCTGCTTCTCGTAATGACAAGGACATTGACTAATTGCATTGACATGACTTTGTCTCGCTCCTGCTGTTCCCGTTCACCCCTTGAGTTTGCTTGCCTTTGCGTGCGTGTGTGTGTGTGTGCGAAATTTCATTTTCTTTTTATAGCCTTTTACTTTGCGGCCGCCACCGGACTGCCATAAACAACAAAACGGGCCGAGAAGCCGACACACGCATGAAAACGGTCTCTCTGTGTGCGAGAGAGTGTGTATAGTGTGCGTGTGAATGAAATTGTGACAGAAAGCGTGAGAGAGGGAGATGAGAGCGAGCGTCGCGTCGCGTCGCGTCCCAATGCTGTTACTGTTGCTGTTGCTGTGGGTAGTAAGTAGCGCTGCTTTCAAGCTACATAGGTGAAAATGGCAACGCCGCAAATCTCAGCAAACCCAGGCACAGTGGACCTAAAATGTGAGGGAAAGGTTGTTTCTAGAAATTGTCAAGTTAATATTGGTTATTAATGGCTGCACCGCCAGGCAGTACAGTTTTACTTGTTAGAAAAACGCATTTGCTGTGCTTAAATTATAATTTTCGTATCTTATTCACACACAACCGGTATAATCTACTGCTTAAAGCTAAACCGCCATTCATGGAAAATCAAAGCATTCTTTTACGCAGAGCCTTGGCCACATTCCCAGGCAATCATCAGGGCTTTGCCTTTTTGTAGGTCTCTTCTTATGTTGGTCGCTTCCAACGACGTCATTAGAGTGTTGTAGACGTAGACACGCCTACGCATCTCGGTGGCAGAGGCTGCCTACAATCTCCAACATGCGTCGGACTCTCCCTCTCCCTCTTCCCCACCAGCTCTACTTGTTGTCATTGTATTTGTTGTTGTTGCATTCCTCATAGCATGTTTTTTTTTACCTTAAACAGCTGTCACTTGGTTCTGTCTCTTACTGTGTGCGTGTGTGTGTATATGTGTGTGTGCGCTCCACAATTGGAGCCAATAATTACATACGTGCCACTCTCTCATATGCTCTCTGTCTTTGACTGAGAGACTCTGTCGCTCTCCCGAGAGCTTAAACTGGTTTGGAAGCAAGCTTTAATTACACTGCGCTTTCTTGTTGTTGCAAAGTTTTGCATTCGTGTGGAGGTTCTTCTACCTGCTTTTTTGTGTGTTTGATTCTGTCTTTGTTTTTGCCTTTTCGCATACTAAACAATTTTCATAATGCGCGCGCGGTTCTCGCAGCGGTAGCGGCAGCGCCAGCGGCAGCGGCAGATTATTGACCTTGATTTCAACATTTGTTGCTGCACGCAAATGAAATGCCAGTCCCGTCCCCACCGCCCGATCTTTCCCCCCATTTCCCCCGTCAATTAAACATAACGGCTGTTGTGTGACATTCCATCCACCTGTAATTGAGTGAGAGGGTTCGTGAGTGGGATGGGGTGGGGGGTTTTGTTAACCTAAAATACCATTATTGTTGTGTTTTTTTCAAACCACAAACAACAAACAAGACAGCGATAGAGAGAGAGACAGGAGAGCGGAGAGCGGAGAGCCTAGCTAGCGGCACTTTTGCTACAAACAACATTTCTCTCGCTCTCCGTCACTCTCCAACCACCAAATTATCGTTCGCTTGGCAGCAGATACATTTACTCTCTCTCTCTCCCACAAACACACTCGCTATAGTTTTCACTCTCTTTCTCTCTGACGCTCTCTCTGAGCGAGTCTTTCGGCAGCAACATGTGCACAAACCACACGTGCTAAAAAAAATACACCCACACACACACGCATACGCATACAATGCGAGAGATATGTATGTGGAATTTGCATTGAGCCGTCGTCGTCGGTTCGTCGCTTCGATTCCCGATTCCTGTTACAGCCGAAGATGCGTCGGCTGCAGCAGCTGTGCTTAAGAGGGAGTGCAAGCGGAGGGATGGTTTGCAGACGAAGCCGGACTTTCCGTTGCGGACGCTGGGGGGAGGGAGGAGCAGTGTCTGTGTGGACTTGTTGTTGCGTTTGGCGTTTTTTGTGTGTGTTTATTTTTTGTTTGTCGTCCCGTTTTGTTCCATTTCGTTTCGTTTCGTTTCTTTTGCTTGTTTGCCGAGACCCGAAGCAGTGGCTAAGAGAGGCTGCACTGCTTGCGTGCTGTGTTGCCGTGCTGCCTACCCTAGTGGGCTTTTTGGGCGAGCTTTGAACTTTTGGCGTTTGGCCGATGGTCTGACCTCACAGCCGAGCCGAGTGCCGGCTTTGGGCGGCTGCTGGCTTGGCTGGCTTGGCTGGCTGGTTGGTTGAGAGCGGAACGGCGGCGGGCGGAGGGAGGCAACAGGCAAACGGCCAACAGTTACACTTTTTCGCCAGACCAGACTCTCTCACGCACACACACACAAACATAATCGTACATTGCCCTCTCGCCTCTGTATGGCTCTGCGTGCGAGTGTGAGCTTTAGCCAAGCAAAAAACCCTACGCTGATCTCATTGAAAGAAGAGTAAACCTAACTCGCCCAAGAAATACATAGTATGCACACCAATACGACTACGAATACCAATGCAAACAAATATTGTAATCCGCAAAAGCAGTGACGCAGTGGCTTGTAAAGGCAGCAACAAAAGCAGCAGCCGTAGCCAATAGAAGAAAAACGAATAGGAAGACGCAACATTGTAAATCTGCTCAAATCGGCGCCGCTGCCTGCCTGCCTGGCTGCATTTGTGTTTTATTTTCTGTTTCCTCTTACTCGCTGCTCTGCTCTGCCTCCACTCTGTGGCTCTTTGGTCTGCTCTCCTCACTTTTTTTTATGTACTCTCACTCTCTCTCTCTGTCTCTCTCTCTATTTTGTTGCGTTTTGTTATTTATAATGTTGTTTACCTTTACGTAATTATCTTTGCAACATTTGTTGAGGCAGCAGACGCAAGCAGTGCCTCCTTGTAAGCGCCAGCAGAGGTGTTTGCGTGTGTGTGTGTGTGTGTAGGTGGTTCCTCTCTCCCTCTCTCTTCGCTTGTAGGCGGCGCGTTTGAGAGATGCTTGGAATTTTCCAAAAAATTTCTTGGCCCTTCTACACGGCGCTCTCTCGGTGTTTGTGTGTGTGTTCTCCCCTCCCCCTACAGCTGGCACTCTTTTGTTTCAAGGGTTTGCACTTCCGCCTTGGATTCATTCTCAAAGTGTCGTCTCCCTGTCCTTTCTTCCAGTGATTTAAACCTCCCTCCCCTCTTGCTTGCCATTAATTTTCCCTCCACTCTCTCTCTCTCTCCACTTCCTTCTTCTCATGACGCTACCTCCCCTCCTCTACCTTCTCAAGTGTTTGAGTGTTTCCTCTTGTTCTTCTCACGTTTCTCTCTGGCAAATGTTGCATTTACATATTTCACTGTTTCACTGCTTGCACTGCTTCTTCTTTCTGATGTATCCAGTTCCCTCTCTCTTTCCTGCCCATTTGTCATTTGCGGCTCGACAAAACAAAAACAATGCAAAACCAAACAATAACAAAAATAAATTGCCTCAAAAGTGTTTTTCGAGGCGTGCGTTGCGTCGTTGACTTTTCCCCAGAAAGAGACAGACGATAGAGAGAGGGAGAGAGCAAGAGCGAGGGAGGCCAAAAGAGAGGGAAAGAGCGAGCTTCTATGGTTGTTTTTCGTTGTTCATTGTTGCGGGTTTTTTTTTTGGGTATTTTTCCATAAGTTACATTGGAATAAACCCAAAAGTCGCAAGGCACCTTTTTGGGGCTGCTTTCGTCACTGGCATGGAATGGCCTCCCCGCTGCCACCGCTCAGCATCCACATGGAATCCACTGGCTAATTGCAACTCTTTTTTTTTTCTTCCTTGCAGCCAATCAAGCGCTTTGGAATGGCACCTGGAAGGGCGCGCTCACGTACGAGTGCCGCTCGCTGCTCTTCAAGGCGCTGCACAATCTGATGGAAAGGTAAGCGAAGATCGCGGTGGGAGAGAGGTGATGTGAAATATCTAACAATCTCCCATTCCTTTGCAGATTCGTGCTCACCAAGGACATTGTGCGCTTCGGCAAATGGTTCGTGCAGCCCTGCACGTCGAGCGATCGTCTCTTTGGACGCAGGTGAGTGCCGTCGTTCCACTGAGGGCTTCTCTTCCCATTGTGGATGCAGGGACAAACGATGTGGCAACGCTGACAGCTTGGCCGTTTCACATTCCCCCCCGTCATCCTAGAGCAAGGACCTCAGGAACTCTGTGCAGTGGCATCCCAGTCTGTGGCACTGCATCGTTCTTCCTGCTACATTCTCCCCCCTGCCCCTCTCCCTGACCCTCTTCTGTGATGTCCTTGGCTAATCCTCGCTAATCGCGCTACTTTACAGCTCCCAGCATCTGTCCTTCTCCTTCACGTTCTTCGTGCACGGCGACACGGTGTGCGCCTCCATCGACCTGCGCGAGCACCCCGCCGTGCGGCCCCTGACCAAGGAGCATCTGGCCGAGGCGGCAGCAGCGTTTGCCGCAGCCAGCTCCAGCGGCCAGTCGGGCCTGGGATCGGGATCGGGAGCAGGATCCAGCTCGGGAGCGGGACCGGGCCAGAGCCAGACACCGGATTCGAACGGAACCAGCGGAACGGAACCAAATGAGGGGGCCGAGGCGAAGGCCGCGCCGCCAGCGCATGCGCGCAAGGTAATGCTGGCCCCCTTCGGCATTGCGGCCATCCTCACGGGCAATAGCTACAGGGCCAACGACCCCGTGGCCGAGAAGATCCTCGAGGACTGGGCCTCGTTCTTCCCGCTGTGCAATAAGGACAACACGGACGTGCCCCCCGTCGTGGAGGTGGTGTCGGGTGAGTGTCCCCCTCGCCCCGAAGAAGTGTGGAACTGCAACTCATTCCGCTCCTTTCTCCCATTCCCAATCCCATTTCCGTTTCCGTCTCCAGGTGGCCATAAGATGTACCATCCTACGAATTATGTACTAGTCACGGATCTGGACGACATGGAGCACCTGGAATTCGCGGAGCTGCAGAGGGCCAGTGCGGGTGTGGGGTCCGGGGCTGAGGCAGCTGCCCTCTCCTCGGCCTCCTGTCCTCCAGCTCCGTCTGCGTCTGCTTCTGCGGCCACGCCACCCGGTGCCTCCCAGGCCAAGGATGGCGGCGCCTCGCGGAAGGCTGTGCCCCAGGCCGTCAGCGCTCTGGAGCGCCTCTCCTTCCAGCCCTACTACGACCAACGCCCGACCTCGGGCTTCTCCTTCAACACCCACAATACTCATATACCTGCCGCGGCGGCCGTCGAGATGCCGGAGCGTGCGTGGCAGGACTGCGTCATGAATACCCTTCATGTGGAGGCGGCGGCGGCAGCAGCAGCAGCAGCGGCGGCGGCAGCGGCGTCGGCGGCGGCGGCATCAGGATCTGCAGCGTCTGCGACGTCAGGCGTTCCGGATGAGGATGAGCAGAACAAGCCTCCGGCGGACTCCAAGCAGCTGGTGCAGCAGCAGATCCAGCAGCAGCAGCAGCAACAGCAGCAGCAGCAGCGCCAGAAGCTGTGGAACTTTGTGGATCCCATGCAGAAGGCGCCCTGTATATGCACCAAGTAAGTCGCGATCCACAGAGAGAGCCGCACAGCAAGCAGATAACCGTTGAAATGGATGGAGAGGCCTCGCTCTCTCTTACTTTTGCTCTTACTCCTATTCCTACTCTCTCTCTCTCTCTCTGTCTCTCTGTATCTATCTATCTCTCTCTCTCGTATGCCCTGATTTAATCGATGTAACGGAGCACCCCGCTCCGTTCCGTTCCGTTCCGTTTCGCTCCTGCTTTGATGGCATGCCTTCCCCCCACCCCCCCCTAGCAAGCAGTGCGATCGCGATAGCTAACTGTTCCTTTATTTGTTTTTTTTTGTCGATATATATATATATCTATATTATATATGCATGCGATAGGCGGTAGATCCCCCTTCTCCTCTCTTTCTTTTGTTTTTGTTTTTGTTTTTTTTTGTTCTTTTGTTGTACTGTACCCAAATCACACAGCAGACAGCTTTTGGTCGCGAAACGGGGAAGGGAAACAAAAACAGTGTGTCTAAAACTTAAAACGAACAACTTTCAGCGCCCAATGCAGCAGCAGCAAGCGTCAGCAGCAGCAGCAGCAGCAACAGTTTCTCTCTCAGCAGCCGCTGGGCTCTCCGTCACTGCGGGCTGCCGCAGGAATTGTCGGTGGCAGCAGCTCCAAGTCGTCCTTCCAGCATCATTACCAACAGCAGCGTCCCGGAACACCAGCCGCCGCAGCAGCAGCAGCAGCAGCCGCCTTGGCAGCAGCAGCGGCAGCAACGCATCATTCCAACAACAACAATACCACCACCACAACCACCTCTTCTTCTTCTGCTTCCACCACCAACACCACCAACACTTTAAACTCGAATTTGAATTTGAATTTGAATTTGAATTCGAACTCGAACTCGAGCTCTTCCTCTGCCCCAAGGCGCCACAATGTGCCGTTCCACAAGCGTTTACTCAATACGCTGACGCAGTCGTCGTCGTCCTCGGCCGTCGTCGCCGCCAGGTACAAGGCGGCAACAGACACCAATACACCAAAAGCAAGGTTTGTGTTGTTGCTGTGTGTGTGTGTGTGTGTGCGAGCGAGCGAGCGAGTGTTTGTGTGCGTGCGTGCGTGTGCGTGTGTGTGTGGAGAGCCAGTGCTGGCTAGCGTTTTTTAGTAACCGCTATAAAGCTTCTCCTCTTCCGTTCTCCTTCTCTAACCCACTCTTCTCTCTGTCTGTCTTCCTTCTCTCTGTCTCTCTCTCTCTCTCTCTGTCTGTCTCTCTCTCACACACAACACGCTCCGCTCTGTTTAACCCTATACTTTTTTATTGTTTCTTTTATTGTTGGTTGGTTGCAAGATTTGAGCATTATTTCTCCTTCCACCTTTGCTGCCTCTTAAATAATTAACAAATTAAAAACCACACACGACACACACACACACACACACGACACTCACACCCAACCCCACAACACCACGAATCATTTTGCCATTTTGCATTAACAAGTGCTAGTTCTAGTTTTTCACTATTTCACTTTTTCACTTTGTTTTCGGTTCGGTGAATGGTATTTTGCAACACTAAAAAATCGAAAAACATGTCTTGAAAGTGTTTGGGCGACTGTTTTATTCCGTTTCCGGTGAATGGTATTTTCCAACACTAAAAAAAAAGAGAACACTGCCTGACAGTGTCAAAATTGTGCAACACTAAAGAGGCGCAAAACTGCTTGACAGTGTCGACCGATGAGACACTGCTTGACAGCCCAGAGGGGTGAAAATGGTGAATGGTATTTCGCAACACTCAAAAGCCATAATCAACACTGTTTTGACCTCATGACAGACCCGTGGCCAATGATGCGATATGTGATGATTATTCTTTCATTTTTCCTTTAACCATATCCTTAGTTTATTGGCTACACCCCGCTGCCACCCACCCACCAACCACCCACCCACTTGCATTTGCCATCTTTCGAATGAACTTCAATTCGAATTACTTTGTTTTTTTTTGGTTGGTTTTTGGTTTCGGTGCATTCTGCATGACATAGAGGCTCGTTTACGCTCGTTATCCTGGCAGCAGGATGCCCAGATGTTTCTTTTTTGGTTTCGCTGTAAATAACATTTTATAGATTATAGACATTATATTTTATATTGGATATAGCACATGTAAACCTAGAGAACTGGTTGATTAGAGATCCCCCTAACCGCCTTGGATGTGGTTTTATTTTGTATACTTTTGCCTAACGATGTTTTGCATACTCGTCCATTAATCAGTACTTACGCCATGGCTAGCTTAGCCCCGTAGCTTGAGCATTGTACATAACCCCCGAGAGACGGCTCCAGACGGCATCCCTGCTAACCAGACTCCCACTCTGCTCTCTCTCTCTCTCTCTCGACAGACACCTGTGCAGCACGCCGCACGGCACTCCGCATGGCGGCGCCTCCACGTACTCACGCAACTCCCTGGGCGGCGACTCGTCGCTGCCGGTGGCCTCCGTGGGATCGCCCGCCACGCCGGCGCCCTCGCCCCATCCGAACTCGGCGCACTCGCAGCCCACGTCCGTGCCGCCCGCAGAGCAAGTGAGTGCAAGTGACGACCCAAAAAATGCAGAAGCACAGCTACCCCCTCCCCCCCGCCTGGCTGCCCTACTAACCCCCGAAAATCCACTCTGCTTTCTACCACCCGATCCTCGTGACAGCTTCTCAACATGAGCCCCCATGCGCCCACGTCCGTTTCGAATCTGCAGCAGCCGCCGACGCCCATCGACCACCTGCTGGACAAGAACACGCCCGCGCCGACGCCCACGGACCAGCACGACAACAAGAGCATCACCGCCTCGCCGTATGTCCACCAGACGCCCAGCGTGGAGCCGCCCTCCTACACGGACCATGCGGCAGGCGGTGGGGCGTCGCAGTCCCTCACCGGACCCGGCAGCGTGCCGCCCCAGCAGCAGCAGCAGCAGCCACCGACGCCCACGGCGGGCGGCACTCTGACGACGAGCGGGGCCAACGCATCCGCCGCAGGAGCCGCCTCGGGGACGGCCGGAACACCGGGTGGAGCGGCCTCCACGACGACGACGACGACGGCGCAGTGCGGCACCATCAGCGTGAAGAAGCTGGAGATGCAGCAACAGACGCCGGCCGCCCATCAGATACCAATCAAGCCAGAGCCCGGCACGGTGCGGGGGACCACGGTGACGTCCACCACGGACGCCATCAACAACCTGCTGAGCCTGTACAAGCCGCCGAAGCTGAAGCTCAAGGACCCGGACAGCTTCTACGACGACGAGTGGCTCAAGGAGGTCATCTACGACTTTCAATTCCAGGAGAACTGGTGAGTGGCGGAGAGCATGTGATCGCATAATCCGTTTTGGATTGCTAAACATTGGATTTTCTGTGCTTCTTTCAGGGACTACCTAACCGTGAAGCGGCCAAAGATGGAGGAGACGTCCAAGCAGAAGAGGACGCGGTACGCCAAGAACCTCTACGAGGGCCACACGCACGTCAAACCGCTCATGCCCTCGCCCGGAGCGGTCTACGGCTCGCAGCTGCTCTCCCTGGACGTCCAGGCAGCGGCCAGCGGAGGCGCAGGCGGTGGAGGGGCAGCGGGAAGCAGCTCTAGCGGTGGCCTCGTGGGCATCGTGAACAGCACGGCCAACGGCAGCGATGCGGAGGCCGAGGGCAGCAGCTTCTTCCACGGACTGGACATCAAAACAGAGCCGGGACTCCACTCGCCGTCGTGCAAGGAGACAAAGTCATCGTCGGGCGGCACCACAGGCGCCAGCAGCGGCGGCGGAGGGAATCTCTTCACCGCCGAGGGCCTCAATCCCTCGCTGAACGACCTGGAGCAGCTGTTCGAGACGAGCTCCAACGACGAGTGCAGCAGCGTGCAGATCCACACGCCGCCCGACTCCAACAATCCCTCGAACGGCGGCTGCAGCGCCGTGACCAACACCATCGACGAGCTCAAGCGGAGCACAGCGGTGGCCAGTGCTGTGGTGGCAGCCGCAGCGGCGGCCGCGGCTGTGGCCAGCTCTGGGGCTGGGAACATCCAGGCGGAGGATCTCACCAAGATGTTTCCCACGCCGCCCTCCCACGAGCAGCAGCACCCGAACTCGAGTCCCTGCCAGACGGACGTGGTGATGACGGATCTCAGTGTGGACACCAGCAGTATTATGGCAGTGGCTCCCCCCATTCAGGTGCCGGCGGCGGTCATTGCGGCCGCTGCCGCTGCCGCATCCGCCTCTGCCTCTGTGACGACGGTGTCCGCCGTGGTGGCCCTGGGCACGCAGTCGAGCCTGAAGCTGCTCAAGCAGGAGTACAACGTGGAGCTGGGCAGCCCCCTGGAGGAGCCCATCGACGACTGGAACTACGTGTACCGGCCGCCGCAGCAGGAGAAGTTCGTGGGCTCCTCGCGCTACGCCCCGCTCACGAACCTGCCCAGCCAGACGCTGCCGAGCATCAGCATGCCCACGAACTGCTACTACAAGCCCACGTGGAGCACCCACAAGTCGCGGGCGGCCACCATGGCGAAGGTAGCCGCCGCCCAGCAGCAGAAGCACCAGAAGCACCAGGCCCTCCAGCAGTGCATCCAGCTGCACCAGCAGAAGCTCCAGCAGCTGCAGCATCAGCACCAGCAGCAGCAGCAGGCGGCGGCGGCCAGTCATGCGCACCAGAGGCACCAGCAGCTGCACGAACTGCTGTCGGCGGCGCCCAGGACCCCGCAAACGGCCATGCCCTCGCCCTCCACCGTGCCCCAGCCGCTGAGCAGCGGCGGCAGCCAATTGCTGCTGAATCAGCTGAACTGCCCCCAGGCGCCGCCCGGCAGCTCCATGCAACAGCTGATGCAGCGGGCGGGCATGTCGCCCATCTCCCCGGGACCCGGCGGCGTGGGAGTGCCCTTCCCCCGCAACAGTCCCATGCTGCGGCAGACGCCCACCCATCCGCCGCCCCCGTATCCGTACGACCTGGGCGTGGCCAGTCCGGCGACATCCACCTCCTCGTACTTGAACCGGCAGCTCCACTCGCAGGAGGCGCAGCCGCATCCGCACACGCCGCAGAGCATGCACCACATACAGTCGGGCATGCACGGCCTTGGATCGGGGGCTGGAGGAGCGGGCCACCACCACCTGGGCAACATGATGCCCTACACTGGCGATGCGGGCATTGCCAGTGGGCCAGCATCGGCGGTGGCGGTGCCCTCCGGGCTGCTGCAGGAGCTGCCCGAGGTCAACTCGGTGCTGGTCAACATCCTGCTGTACGACACGGCGCTGAACGTGTTCCGCGACCACAACTTCGACAGCAGCAGCGTGTGCGTGTGCAATGCGGACACCCAGAAGATCGGGAACATACGCGGAGCCGACTCCGGGGTGTACGTCCCGCTGCCGGGCGTCAGCTTCAATCCGTTCCCCGCACATTCCGCCAATGCGGCGGCCACGGCCGGCCAGAGGCTGCTCAACGGGCCCAGCTCCTCCTCCTCATCGGCCGCCTCGTTTGGCGGCGGCCTGAGGATGATCAGTGCCTTTGGAGGGTCGCCCGCCTCCTCGTCGATGCCCGGAGCTGGCTCCGGACACGGCCACGGGCCCAATGGCGGCTCCAACTCCTCCTCCTGCACGCCGCCGAGCAGCAATCCGCACATCACCGGCTACGTGGACGACGATCCCGTCGAGTGCACCTGCGGCTTCAGTGCCGTCGTCAATCGCAGGCTCTCGCACCGCGCAGGACTCTTCTACGAGGACGAGGTGGAGATCACGGGCAAAGCCGACGATCCGGGCCGGAATAAGCAGCCCTCGCTGCTCAGCCTCATCCAGAGCCTGTGCCGCAAGAACCAGGCCAAGGCGGCGTCCGGGCCCGGCGGCGACACCAGCAGCTCTTCCGCTCTGGAGAAGGTCACGGGAGCAGCGGCCAGCGCCGGGCAGCTGGAGCATCTCGCCCATGCCATCTTCGACCTGCTGCTGGACCAGTGCTCCATCATCCAGACATCCAGCAGCTCCGTGCACCGCGCCCTGCAGTCCCACCGCCGACGCATGTCCCGGCAGCGACGCCTCTTCGGCACTGGCGGCGCCCCGGCCGCCTCGATGGCCTCCATCGCCAATGTCCTCGAGTTCATGGATGCCCACGATGTGATCAGCCTGGCGCTGGAGCAGGCCCGCATGGCCTTCGAGCACCAGCGCATGGACAACATGCTGGAGTTCCACGGAAACTCGAGCCAACAGCTCACCGCCTTCCACGCCCATCCGCCCGCTCTGCGCCAGAAGCTGTCGATCCTCGGCAGCGGCTGCCTCACGGTCCACAAGTGGCCGTACCTGCCCGTGGGCTTCACGCGCAGCAACAAGGAGATCGTGCGCACCATGAACTCCATCCAGCCGATGCTGCAGAACGCCTTCCACTGCAAGTCGCGCGGCGGGGCCGCAGGCTCCAAGGACGCCAGCTCCTACAACACGGTCAGCGGGCCGCTCACGTGGCGCCAGTTCCACCGCCTGGCGGGCCGTGCCTCCGGCCAGTGCGAGCCGCAGCCCATACCCTCGGTGGTGGTGGGCTACGAGAAGGACTGGATTTCGGTGGCCCCGCACTCGATCCACTACTGGGACAAGTTCCTCCTGGAGCCGTACTCCTATGCCCGGGACGTGGTCTATGTGGTGGTGTGTCCGGACAACGAGCACGTGGCGGGCTGCACGCGCAGCTACTTCCGGGAGCTGAGCAGCACCTACGAGATGTGCAAGCTGGGCCGGCACACCCCGATCCGCGGCTGGGAGGGCATCCTCCAGGTGGCCGCCAGCCGCAATGTGCCGCCAGAGCGAGAGCAGACGCCGCTGGACGATTGGCTGCGGACCCTCGATCATCCGCTGGCCGAGCAGATCCGCCGCTATGCGGTGGCCTTCCTCCACCAGCTGGCGCCGTACCTCAGTCGCGTGCCCGGCGACAAGACGCTGCTCAATCCGCCCGACGGCAGTGCCAGCGGAGGCAGCTCTTCGAAAGGCGGCCACCACTCCGGCGGCTCTGGAACGGATCCACTGCACAACGATCCCATCAAGCAGGAGCCGGGCACAGAGACGCCGCTGTCGGCAGCCCCGACTTTGGACAGCAGCAGCAGCAGCAGCAACAACAACCAACAGGACAGCAAGGACGGCGTCAAGGGGAGCGCCGGTGGCGACACCAAGCCAGCCCTGATACTGGGCGATCCCCTGGGCGTGGGCGAGACCCTGGAGGACATCAATCCAGCAGCCATCGTCCTGTACGTGGTCAACCCCTTCACCTTCGCCTCGGACAGCTGCGAGCTGGAGCGCCTCGCTCTGATCGCGCTGCTCCGATGCTACGCGGAGCTGCTGAAGGCCGTGCCGGACTCGGTGCGCGCCCAGATGAACATCCAGATCATATCGCTGGAAGCGGTGATGGAGCTGGGGCCGTGCGGCAACCGCAAACGCTTCTCGGACGAGATCAAGTGCCTGGCGCTCAACATATTCTCGCAGTGCCGGCGACATCTGGTCCATGCGCAGTCGGTGAAGAGCCTCACGGGCTTTGGCACGGCCGCCAACATGGAGGCCTTCCTCAAGACCAAGGACGAACCGAACCGTCGGGCCTACAAGATGTACACCGCCCCCTTTGTGCTGGCCCCCATGTACGAGCGGACGGACAAGACGGACTTCTCGCGCTCGGCGGGGAGCATGCACGGCCAGAACGAGCACCGCTACTCGGTGATGTACTGCAACTATTGCCTCAGCGAGGACCAGGCCTGGCTGCTGGCCACCGCCACCGACGAGCGCGGCGAGCTGCTCGAGAAGGTGTGCATCAACATCGACGTGCCGAATCGCGCCCGTCGCCGCAAGGCACCCGCCCGCTATGTGGCCCTCAAGAAGCTGATGGACTTCGTCATGGGCATCATCTCGCAGACGTCGCAGATGTGGCGCCTGGTCATCGGGCGCATTGGCCGCATCGGCCACAGCGAGCTCAAGTCGTGGAGCTATCTGCTCAGCAAGCAGCAGCTGCAGAAGGCCTCCAAGCAGTTCAAGGACATGTGCAAGCAGTGCACCCTCATGTATCCGCCCACCATCCTGAGCGCCTGCCTCGTCACCCTCGAGCCGGACGCCAAGCTGCGCGTGATGCCCGACCAGTTTACGCCCGACGAACGCTTCTCCCAGATTTCGATGCAGAATCCGCTCTCCACGCCGCAGGATGTGACCTGTACCCACATTCTGGTCTTTCCCACGAGTGCTGTCTGTGCGGTGAGTCCTCTGAGATGGGTTTTCTCTCGAGGATCGTTGCTAATCGATTTTTTTTCCTTGTGCAGCCCTTTACCCGCCAGTTCCAGAACGAGCCCCAGGTGGATGATGACTTTCTCACCTTCGAAGAGGAGGGAAACGAGGACTTCAGCGATGCGGATATCGGGGAACTCTTCTGGGGAGACAGTGAGTCGATGCTCTCCGGCAATCTGCTGCCGATTCTAATGCCTATCCCTCTTCCCGTTGTAGCACACATGGATCGCGTGTCGAATCACGGCAGTCCGGGGCGCATGGAGGACAATCGTAGCTGGCAGAGCGCCGGTGGCAACAATTTCAAGTGCACCCCGCCCCAGGAAGTGGAGGAGGTAAGGGATACCCGTTAACTGGCCTCAGATGGATCTCTAAAGCCCGTTTCTTCGATCGTTTTCAGGTGGGATCCCTCAATCAGCAGCCCATATCGGTGGGCTATATGGTCTCAACGGCACCGACGGGCCGCATGCCCGCCTGGTTTTGGTCCGCGTGTCCGCATTTGGAGGAAGTGTGTCCGGTCTTCCTGAAAACCGCACTCCATCTGCATGTGCCGAACATCCAGATAGCCGACGATATTCTCAACTCTACGAATGCCCATCAGTCGGCGAATGACCATCCGCTGGACTCCAGCCTGACGGCGGACGTGCTCCGCTTCGTGCTGGAGGGATACAACGCCCTCTCCTGGCTGGCCCTCGACTCCAACACGCACGACCGTCTCTCCTGTCTGCCCATCAATGTGCAGACGCTAATGGATCTGTACTATCTGACGGCAGCTATAGCCTAAGGACCTCAATCAAAGACCGAAAGACCGAAAGACCATTTCACAATCTTCAATTAAACGCAGTCGCATGCTTCCGTTTGCTATACTTCCACTAGCTATACATACTCCGTATAAACCACAAAAGCTCCACAACAACTCCACAAAAACTCCAAAACGAAGTCCAGCTCCAAACCACAAAAAGGAAACAAAACAATCGAAGTTAACAGAATCAAACAGCAAGAAAGAAGCAGAAACAGCAACAGCAACAGAGCAACCATTAGCCGTAGATGAAATTAGACACAGAAGATGAAGAAAACAGAAATAAAAGTTGAAGCAACCAGCAACAGCAGCGCACAGATTACTTAGCATTACTTAACCGGAGGGCCTTGTAACACACAGAAAGATAGAGACAAACAGAGAGAGAGAGAGAGAGATAGAGAGAGAGAGCAGCAGTAGCAGCTGTAGCAGATAGGAGATAGGAGATAGAAGATAGATAGAGGATAGGAGGAGTAGAGTTTACCCATAAGTCTTGAACAGCAACAGCATTACTATTTATTAAACTATCGAGAATTGTCATGTGTAAAGTTTAAAGAGTGTAGACAAGTGTAGACGGACTGTCTGTCGTTTGCAAGATTGTTTTTTTTTTTTTTTTTGTTTTTTTAACACCTATATTATTTTTTATACATATACATAGGCCTGGGCGTTCGATTAGTGTTTAATATTTATAAATATACAAGAAGGAACGTATTTGATGGAGTGGGAGGATGAGCAGAGGAGCAGATGAATGATCGAGGAGCGAACCACAACCACCACACACACACACACACAGACAGACACACACACGTAGGCATATATTATACATACACATAGAGCATATAAAATACGCAAAAGGACGAGAGAGGATCGGGTCGGATCGGATCGAAGGAGAGCATGTTTAGGATTAAGTAACCAGTTTGTACATATTTACAACAAAACCGATTCAAAAACCAACAACCAACAACAGCAACAACAACAACAACAACAACAACAACAAGCAGCAACAAAGCAAAGCAAAAAAAAAGCGAAAAAGAAACGTGTAATTATACAAATACTAGGATTAGTTTACAACAAATTGGATGGAGTGCAGAGGAGCAGTCGGAGGAGTCGTTTAAGTCTAATTAAATTAAATTAATAAATTGTGTAAATTTTTTTGTGCGAAGTGAGCATTAGTTTAAATTTAAATTATACAACAACAACAAACAAAAAAAAAGAGGAAACATCCAAAACAAAACCCCATCCCAAAACCAGAAACATATAAACGGTATACTGTAAAATTGCATATATATAACACTATATATATATACTATATATATCTGGACGCCAAGCGCAGATCGGAGAGAGATCGAGAGAGAGAGAGAGAGAGATAGAGAGAGGAGTAGCATGTAGAGTTAGATGATGAGCGTTAGGATCAGTTATTTTTTTATTTTTTTTGAATTTTTTGTGTATTCTGTTTCGTCTGTATTCGTCGTACTGTACTATATTCGTGTAATCCCTAGGGCGATTCTTGTACTTCCCCCTGCATCCCCCCAACGCCCCACACACCCACTCACATAGCCAATTGTCAAATAATGGAAATACTTAAAAGAAAATGTGTACAAATTAATATATAATGCCTGTAAACAAAACGAAAACGAAAACAAAAACAAAAAGGATAGCTTTCTACAACACCAACACTCACCAACAACAACAACAACAAGAAAAAACACACCACAAAATTGATTTTGCACGTTGAAACGATTTTCGCTAGGCTTAGGTTTAAAAGTAATGAGAAAAAAAAAACAAAACATAAACAAAAAACAATTATTAAACAATGAAATTATATTTTTACCTGTGTATTTTAATTAGCATAAATTGTATAAACAAGAAAGTACGATTACAAAGACGGTTTTCTAGTAATTATCACACACCAACAACAACAACAACAAAAACAACACCAACAACATCCTCTCCCCCGCCTAACTCCTAAAAACACACACACACACACACATGCATATCTTTTAAGTAGTTTGGTTTTTCATTTAGTATTCTATTCTATTCTACTATTTTTTTTTTTGTGTAATAAACAACAAACATATTTGCAAACAGTTTTTGATTTGTGATTTTTTATTTTCCTGCGCTCTTGAAAACCAACGCCCCTCCCCCCCATATCCATATCCTCCGCAAAAGCATTATCACACGCTGCTGTACATAAGAAAACGCTTAAACAATCACTGATTGATGTGATTGCGCTTAAAGAGTTTTTTCCTAGCTAAGGTTTCAGTTGAGTTGCCGCCAAAAAAAAGAAACCAAAAACAAAACACTCTCGATTATTTCCCCGGTTGGAATATTCTGGGGGCCGCCAATAAAGAGCAAATAATTAATAGCAATAAAAGGGTGTAAAGCACAAGAAAAACAAAAATAGAGATTTACATATATATATATATATATATTGTATGTTCAAGAAGGAGGGAGGGAAGGCAGCAAGCAAAGATAGAGAGAACCCCGCAACAATTGACAACAAGCATTCATAGCAAAGAAAAGAAAAACTTAAATAAAATATATATACATATATAATGATTAAAAACCAAAAACATGGTGGGAACAGATTTTTTTAATAAGCCAACTCGATTTACGAGCTGAAAATTTTCTAAAATTAAAGACACTAGCCCTAAAGGAAAACAAACAAAAAAAAACAACAACAAAAACTAAACCAAAAAAACTGCATAAGTAAAACCAATTAATGTCCGTGCGGTTTAGGACTAGCAGACAACAACCAAACAAACAAACAAAAAAAAAGAAAAGAAAAAAAAAGAAAAAAGAAAAAAAGAAAAAGTTATATACACGAGATGTTCATTGTAAAGTTAGTTAAGGGCTTGAGAACTAGAGAATAAGTCAGATAGAGAGAGAGAGAGTGGAGGAGGAGGAGGAGGAGGATTCGAACAAATACTAAGTGCATTAAGCGTTGGAGGGGAAGGCAAAGAAAACCATTTACTAGCCTAAAAGTATTCAATTATTAAGTGAACTTAGTTGGAGAGCCTAAAAGATGACGTGGTTTTGATGGATGGCACGGATGAAGTAGACAACACACCCCCGAAGATGCAATTGTTTCTAAAACAAAACACACACAAAAAAAGGGTGTCATGTTACACACACGGACACACACACACACACACACACACACACACACACACACACTATATATAGTATATATATATGTACACAACACACCTAAATTAGGATCGGAATGAGAACATGATTGTCAAAATCTAGCTACAGAATTGCATATTATATACATACATATATATACATATACAAGTACACTTTATATATATTGGGCAAAAACAAAATGTTGTTGTAGTGCAATTACAATTAAGTTTTGTTTTGCCACCAATCCAGAGTAAAACCAACAAAAAATAAAAAAAAACAAGAAACAAGAAAACCAACCAAACCGCATATATAACATATATGTATATGTATAGCAAAGGTCAAAAGTGGGTCAAGATTTTTAAGATGACGAAACGAAAGAATAACTGACGACATTGTTTGTAATTCCTTTTACAGGCGATACCAAATACAAAAACTAAAACAAGAACATTTTTTCAAATAAAAACTAACATCAAATTCAAAAAAAATTCAGTTCGTGCATTCGCTAATTAGGCGATGGAGGTGGAGATTCTCTCAGGTCATTCAGTGTTTTTGTTGTATTCATTAGTCGCATCATGGGGACATTCTCTAGGAGGAGGAAACTGCTCTTCTTCTGCTTCCTCCCCAGGCTCAGGATCGTTCTGGAAGTGTTGGCATCGCTGGCTTCTAGCAATCAATCGCTCTTTCAGGCAGATATCTAGTTTCATTATGGCTTATGTATGTATCAAACTTATAGTATTCATTTCTTTGTATCTCTCAGTTTGGCTGTGTGATTGTCTTAGAATAAAAATGGCGGGTGGCCGTTGCGTTAGTGGTTGCCCATCAGCGCATCCAAGTATTCGTTCAGCTTTTGGGAAAACTCCTCTCCGCCAGCATGGCGGCAGTTGCCCCAGGCATCTATCAGCATTTCCATATCTTCGGCGCTGCCAATGTTGTCCAAGGCCACTGTGAAACGAAGCGATATATGTAGCAAGCTGCGGCTGCGCGGATATTACCACTGATACTCACGGACTACCATCTCTTTGACCTCCCACTCGGGATCGAAGCGCGAGCGGAGGAACTCGAGGATCTCCAGCAGCTGCGGTGTCCTTAGATTCGGGGTTATCTCGTAGTTGCAAAGAATTTCATCGTCCATACACATGCGCGTGGTGCTCAAATATTGACAGGTCTTGTCCCGGATAATGAGCAGCTTATCCAGAATCATTTTCATCGTGGCCATGGGATTGGCCAGTCGTTCGTTCAACACTCGAATCTGTTTGTCCCCCGTTCTAAGGCCACGTTCATTGTGAAGATTGTTCAACCGATACTCCGCATCGGAAATCAGCTTCCGAAGGTGGCAAATACTTTTCATGGCAGTGCGGCCCTTGCATACGAAACTTCGCCAGGACTTTGTCATGTAGCGTATATCCATGGACATTTTGCAGAGTTTATCTTTGCCACGCTCAAATTGCATTTTGGAAAAGCTTACGCCGGTCGATTGCAAATTATAAACCAAAAAAAAAAATGGAGGGAAATTTCGTTTTGTCCAATGACAGTGTGCGACAACGCAAAACTTAAGCTGGGCTGGAGTGTTGGGAAGAGGTAGCCCGCAGAGGTCACAGAAATTTGAATATTTTCTTAATCACTTGCATAATATATTTTCTCTTCTTCTTACGCTATATCAGATGAATGGTAATATATTTAATTCCAGGTAAATTAGGGAACCTTCATTCTCTTTGTGGAGGGTTTGTTCATTATTCCTAAGCTCTTGTTTAGTGGAAGATAAGCCTTCATATCCATATTGCCAGTATGGCTCTTATTATGCTATTCGTTTCCGACAGTCCTTTGCAGGAATCCCACCCAACTTGCGATATATTTCGAAATATTGCGATATTTATGACGTCACAAATAGTCACAGTAAACGCTAACCTAACGGTTAAATATGCCGGGTCTGGCGCAAGAAAATACCAAAACAAGGGTTGCATTTGATTCGACAGCCGAGCGTTAATTATCGCCAATCGATAGTCATTCCTAGCAAGTGCACAACAAATAATTCGTAAACAATTGTCTTCTCATAAGAAATTCCCACAACTTTCTCTGATCTGCATTAGAATTGTGCCGCACTGTTGCAACAGTGTGGCCGCGTGATCTGTTGCCCCAGTGGGTATGCTCCTGGTATCCCTCTTTCCCCCTCCTTGGCTCCTCGTTGCGTGCCAAATTGATCAAGTGACCGTGATTAAGCAGCCGACTAGCTCTGGTCGCATTAATTGCGATCATGTTGCACATGCCCCGCACCCCGGCCGTGGCTGACAATTAGCTGCGTGACGCTTGCCACAACTAGGAAACGATTTTCTTTTGCTTTATTTGTGGGTCGTCGCCAGCATCTGGAGTTCAAGCTGGGGAGATGGGGGCTGCAGATGCAGCCAAAGCCTGTCAGGCGGCATGAATTACTGTGCGTTGATTGCCTTTAAGGCCTGATTGCAACAGCAGCCAGCAGCCAGCAGCCAGCACCAGCACCAGCCACAATAAAAAAACGTTGCACAAATTGCTGTCCTGGCGTCGGCGGCTGCTGTTCTTTTGAGGCATGGCGGCAAACGAGTTCTGGTAGGAGGAGATGAGTGCCCCAACTGCATTAATTATCAACAAATCATTTTTGCAGCCCCGAAAGCAGCATTTATCAGCGATTATGCATGGACAAAGGAATCAATGGAGGAGGAGGTGTGGCCGTGGCCGCAAGTGTCGCGCAACATGTGTCTTGTGGATGTGGATGCCATGTGGAACGCAGGCCAGCGATGGCGATCTTGACGTGAAGCTCTGCACAAATTTGTCAGGCGGGGCAGGGGCAGGGGCAGCGACAGAGTGCCCCAGACTCCAGGCCCCAGGCTCATGGCGTCGGCTACATGACATGGCATTGATAAGCACAAAAAATTGAATCGCCGCCGTCGCAGCATCGCAATTAAGATATTTTTATGTAAATTAATGAAAACAGTCGGCGAAGAAGGAGGCCACTGCGTAGGCAGGCCGAAAGAAGGGACCCACAAATCGGCATCGGCATCGGAATCGGCAGAGATGGAGCTGTAGCTGGAGCTGTAGCTGGAGCTGGAGCCATGCGTGCAACTTACAAATAAGTACAAGTCGGCCACGATCGAGGGAAGCGAGGCCCAATTGTGCATTTTTAATTGGAAAGCTCACAGAGCCCAGGCCCCGGCAAAGGGCACAACGATCCTCTGGCAGCGGCAGCCTCGCAAAAACTGACGCACCGAAAATTTATTGTTTCATGCGATTCGAAGACGATCCACTGCGCGGCAATGCTAACAGGCAACCCGGCCCGGCGACCCGGCAGCCCGGCAAACGGCAACGAGCCACGATCAACGCGGCACCGCATGTCGAATGGCCAGAGCAAACAGCAAACAGCAAAAAGGCCGCAAGGCCTCTCTGGCCAAGAAGACGATGCCCGGCCCGGCCTGGTCTTGGCCCGCTCTTACTTAGGCATTTATGTCTGGCACTTGACACATTTTGTTATGGCATTTTTCAGCTACCGCGCGCCTCTGACTCCGTTTGACCCAATCAAAATTCCTGGATCTTGCACTTGAATGCGTTTAATTTGTAAGATTTGCCTCGGCTCGAACGGGGACGAGCACCACTGCCCAAGTGTTGAACTTGATGTTTCACAAAGCCCCTGACACGAAGGAAACTGTGGGGGACATGGCTTAAGCTTAAGGGATCGCATGAGGAACTCTGAAAGAAGATGGGCTCATGTCGGAAATACATTCTGTAAGGTAAATTATATTGACTTAACTTTCGAATATTCAAAGGCTGAGAGTACATATACCATTGATTGAATCTTTGAGAGAGCAATGCTCTGGGAGCCTGCCAGATAAAGACACCTCAAGACCTGCTCAGGAATCAAACATTAATTGGGGGAACCATTTCTAAGCAAATGCCATGGAGAAGCCATCAACAAGAGCCGTAAAGCAGCCGGCCATTGGCTTTCCCCCCACATGCAACTTCCTCTCGAGGCGACGCCTCCCCGAAACCCATTTCAGATCAGTTAGAAGTGGCTTTGCTGGCCCCCCTTTCTTTCATTACTCCATTTCGCATTTCCGATTCCCAGTGGAGCCCATCATTTCTGCATTATTAATTCCTTTTGCAGCCTAAGCCAACTTATTTGCCTGCTTATCGCCGCAGAACATCCTTTGGTCTGGGGGCGGCGCACCACGGCGCGCACTTAATGGGGATCCCGCTCCCAACTATCCCGACTATCCCGGAAAGTGTCGGGGGGTGCCCCTCGGTTGGGTCCCACTGCAGCTGCAGCTGCCTGCCTCATGGAGTGGCATGGGCATAGGCGTAGGCATAGGCATAGGCATAGGCATAGGCATGGGCAGAGCAGGCATGTTGTTGCCGGTAGCGTTTGCTGATCGCTGGACAACCGAAACGAGAGCACCAGAGAGAGGCAACCAGGTAGGGAGCCGGTCTAGGACCGGGGACCGGGGACCGGGCACTGGGGGACAAGTTGATTTATTCTAATCTGTATAAGCGTTGCTATAATAAAGCAAAAGAGCCCACGGAGTGGACAATGCTCGCCAGCGGCTTTTGGCCATGTCCGAGGCTGGGGCCCAAATTGCAGATCAAACTCCATTGGGGACTGGTTTTAGGTCCCCATCCATGCCAGGCTCCACGAGAATCTATCTGTGTGTGTGTATGTGTGTGTGTGTGTGTGTGTGCCCCAGCCAGTTGATTCTGCATTGTAATTGGATTTGAGCCGCCGGTGCAGTCGCAGCTGCGGATTCTAATGACTCAGCAAAGTGGTAGGGAGACAGGCACAGGGACAGGGACTGGGACTCGAGATCCTGTCCTTTCCTGTTCGGGCCGGCCCTGTTCCATTGTTCTTGATTTTGGCCGAGGGCTTAAGCTCAACCTTTCACTGGGACTAATGCACTCCCAGACCCATACCCATACCCGGACCCGGTCCCAGACCCGGGCCCAAAATGAAGATGCATGCGCTAATTTATCGACTCTGCGAGACTCCAGAGGAAGCTGAAGCTCGAGCTGCTGCCGACATGCAAAGTGTCGCCGGCCCCGGGAATGTTATCTCCGCCCCAGTGTCGCTGGAAGTGTCGCTGCGACGACAACGGCCCGGCGGAGGCGGCGGGAAAGCAACGCTGATAACGAAGGCGGAGGATGCAAGATGCAGCCAAGGCGAAGGCGTCAATGGGTTCGCGTAGCAGCAGCAGTCTGCTCCTTGCCGGCAACACCCACTTGGTGGTGGGGAGTCCTTATCGGTGGTACTACACTGTGTTCTGCCCCGCCCTGCCAGCAACAGAGAGAGGGGAAGAGCAGGGTCTGTTGAAGTCTGGGAAGAGCTAAGCATCTGTCGAAAATGCTTTGCCGCGTGCTTGGAAATCTGAAAACGAATTTTAAACACTGTTGTGCAATTGTTTTCTCAGTTTTTGAAGGAGCCAACTTCTGTGGGTTCCAGAGCCCTCATATGGAAGTTTTCCATGTTGAAATGAAGTTATTTTCGCAAAGTTTTAGATCATCTAGAGGGCAACTCTTGAGCTAAATCCCTACAAAATTGTGAGCTATATACCAGATTTTCATTTCTATTGTAAGCCTCCTACTCCCGGTCTTTGTATCCATACAATGATCACTCCCTGAGGTGGCGGCAGGGTATTTCCGATTCTCGTGGACTCTCCAATGCCTTTCGCATTGCGTTTTATTCAAATTTGAACATGTTGCTACACGCAAAGACCAACCAAGTGGGAGGATGAGCAGCAGGAGGAGCAGCAGGCGGATGAGCAGCAGGAGGATGAGCACCAGCAGGTGGTGTGGGCGGGGCGGGGCGGGCTGTGGCAGCCAAATCACGTAATGCGCGATGCAAACATTGTTAAAACACTTGTGGCCCGAAGAGAGTGTCGGCCCCCAGTCACTCCACCTCTCCCCTTCTCCATCACTTGATTTTATTTTCGCGCGAATTTGCATTTTCAATTCCCTCTCTCTATCTCTCTCTCTCCCGCTGCCGCTGCCCCTGCCGCTGCCTGGGCAGTAGGCGGAGGAAGAGGAACGGAAGACACTACCAGGGCCAAAGCAGAAGACTTTTGCGTTTATTTAAATTTATTTTCCTAGAATGCCACAAGTCGCCATCTCTGTCGCATCGATGTGCAATTTGTTTGTCGCCTGCAAAAAGACTTCCAAACTGCATCCGTTCCCGGAGTGAGTGTCTCTCCCAGTGGCTACCAGTCGCCCCATACCTCCCTGTCTGTCTCCCCAGTTCCTCCTGTCCTCCTGTCCCCCGTCCCCCTGTCCCCCTGTCTGTCTGGAAGTAGCCTCCTGCCAGATCTGCCATCCAACTGCGTCTGCGTATGAAAATTAATTGTTGCCACTCGTGACGACGTCGACGACAGCAGGAGCAGCAAATGCAACAGCAGCAGCAGCAGCAGC